TGATAGTCTTTGTAACGTAGCAATTACTTCTGGCAAAATTCTAATTCAGATCCTGCAACTGGCAGATTCAAATGGATTTGCTGTGTGTTTTCTTAATCTGTGTGTAGCACTACTTGAGAGGAGCACTACAAGCTGCTATTGCACAGTGCAGCCGCAGGTGCTGTGTCAGTGCTCTTCTGCAAGCGGTTGTGTCTGGAGGATGGTTGGTGGCTATTGAGGGATTTGGGAAAGGACTGGTGGAGGGGGGCTTGTTTTAAGCCCAGGGATGGTTGCGTTGGTGGCAGGCAGCAATTATTTCAGGCTGTCTTGTAGGATGGACAGACTTTCATGTCAATTCAGGACTGCTCGAATGTCATTCATGCAGAATTTATTTAAAAGGCATGAACAAAGTCAGGTTTCTTGTTGAGTTCCCTGTTAGAGTATTGCAGAGGGTCCTCAGGGTTCCTTTATAGCTGTAGGAATCCCAAGCTCAGCTTGTGGGATGCAAACTGTAGCCATTCCCAAAAGCTACTGCTTGCTGAAGTCTCTGTTCATCGGCTGGTCCAAATCTTTACAGGAAATACTCTGTTGAAGGAGGAAGTTTGGCCTTTTTGTGTCTTTTCTTGCATCCTTACTTTGTGGAGCATCCAGGGTAGGGTGTGACCAAGGTAGCTTGTCCATGCATTGCCAGATGTTCGTTCTTTTTCCACCACCTAACGAAAAGCTCAATTCTTTGCTACGCTGCTCCAGATACGGAGGCTTGTCCTCCATGAGACTGAACAGAGTTTGGCCTCGCCCTTGCCGCGGCACACTCGCTCAGGTTATTTTTACTGCGGCTCCAATCGTAAGACGAGGTGTTTCTCTTAGGCAGAGTATGAACATAAATCAAGAAGACGTACTCTGCCTTTCCTGCTTTCACATACTCCATGCAGGAGTGTCACCTAGGAGCAAGGGGCCGCTGCTTAGGTGGGCTTGTTTGTGTTCTGTCCCTGACTGAATCTGTTGCATCTACTCAAGGCCACACTGCAGGGGTATGTGCGGCCCTGAATGCGCTCTGGTCAATTAGGTCTGTAAAGCATTATTTATTACTATTATTTTTTTTTTCAAAGTGGGTCAAGCCATTTTGGCATTTCAGGCGTTGATTCCTGGTTCAATTGCAGGCCTTGGTCACTATGGCAACTGCAGAAAGCGTTCGTCATGGCTGTGCCTTGGGTCAGATTCAAACTCCAGGGACTGAGCAGGAGCAGTGAGAGTTTTGAGGGGCTCAGGGCAGGGGGAGGCGAGTGGGACAGAGCTGCAGGCTTGGGGGGTTTTTGTGCCCATCCTTGCTGTGGTAGAGGTGAAAGGCTGAAATAACAGACGCTTTGTGTTCTTCATTGTGTGCGCACCCGTGGAGTCCTTCATGTGAGAAATACTCAGCATTGCTCAGTTATCAGATAGTGTGAGGTGGATTCAGAGCCCCTGAGTTTGATCAGCTCTCTGTCACTGCCTTAAGGGAGAGCCTAAGACGTGCCTGAAGCTGTCTTTTTTTTTTTTTCCCCTATCTCTGCAAAGTTGATAATCCATATCTAACAAAATATGTACAGATGGATTTAGTTTTTTAAAGCATGCCAGAGATGCAAAGTGACTGGAAAATGAACTTGGAGGCCAGAGTCTGCCTAAGCTTGCGCTTGGCAGAGCTGGCACCAAAATGTATGGCTATGGTAGTGTGAACTGAGCCTGGGCAAACATATACGCGCCAGCTTTAATCCACTTAGGGCTGATGCTGCTCCTGTGTAGCTGCAGCAGTGTGGGTTACTCAGCCATGACTGAAAAACCCACCTGAGGAGCTTTGTAAGGTGATTAGCTTGAATTGGCCTCCCTGGCCTCACACTGCTTAGCAGTATCTGTGCTAGGCGTGTTAAGCCAGTTTTAGAGCATGTGTGTGCTCAGTGTGAAAACTGAGAATGTGTCTTCCATGCCCACGTGTGAGTGAGTGTACGCTGGAGCTAGTATTACTGTATTTATTGCAGAATTTGTCTCATTTCTCATTTAATTACAATTTGAGTACTGAACTTTTAGCAGGTTTCCTCTGAGTTTCGTATACACATGGTGCAGCTGTATCCTGGTTTTGAACTGGTTATTTTGTGCTATATGAGTAAAAACTCAGTGCGCCTTCATAATGGTAACCTGAAAGCAAGCAGAACCCAGACTGAATTTGACTTGGTCTTTAGAGTTTCTTGAAGCTGAAACTCAAAGTGAAACTTGTATGAACTCACACGAACTGAAAATGAGAAGGAGGTTGTGCATGATAAACTCAGGTTTTGTAGAGCTGTAGAAGAAAAATGAGTATGTCTGTTCAAACAAATTTAATGCAGCAATACGTGACTCGGTAACATTGTCTTCAAATTCTTGCCTTGTATTTCTGGGGACCTCTCCCATAAGCTATTTTATGTTGATTCAAGCATGCTGCGGGCAAGATTTAGGAAATCTGATATAATGCCAGATAAGCAATAACACAGCATGAGCAGGAGCAATAGAGCCTCAGACTTTAGAGTTCTTAACCACAGGAATGGCAGTTGAAAGTAATTTCCAATTCTGGAAGCATTGCTTATGAACTTCAAGTCTTAGTACCATTTGCACAGCACTTTCTGCACGTGCAGGTAGTTGCCGATTGCAGTTGGTACACTAGATATAACTATGCTGGGTTGTTCAAAAAGTGTGTACAACTTGAGCTTCGCAGAAGTAGCAGCAGGAGGACAGAAAATGAAATACCCATTTTAACTGAATCAGCTGAAAGTCTGAAGAAACCGGATACTTTTGTACATTTCAATAAGCTAAAAACACCCTGATAATTTTACTTCATGACATACCTGAACTGTTGCAGGCAGTGCTGTGGTGAGAAGGGCCCAGATCATCTTTTGCTTAGTCTTCTGTTTTGTTTCAAACATGATTTGGAGGGATTAACGCTTGAATATTGCTACAGTTGAGCTGTACATGTAGATAGTATTCACGTGTCTTGACCAGGGAAAGCGAGGACGTGGTATGCTATTGGCATAGTTCACCCATGAGATGTGCCATTGTTAGGTGTGAACTGTGATAAAACAAGGAGTGGAATTACTCTGCCAGTCTTCACACTGGAGCTACCTTTGGGTTTAGAGGGCATTTGAGCAAGCAACTTTTTTTTCTATAGCAATATGATTCACAGTCTATTAAGTAGAAATAGGTAACAGAGCAGAGTCCGTAATTTAATCAGTCTTCCTACTTACAGAATGTTTTGCAAACCAGTTTTCCTCTGGCCTGTTCGTTATCTCTATGAATTTCCATATTTTATATTATTGAAAATACCTTCTATGGGTTTTCAGTGAAGTGGCACACTACTGTTCTTGCCAATTGCAAGCTCACTGTATGAGTGTGAAATTTGATTCTGTTAGTATTTACATAAGTAACTTTGTTGCATGCTTTCTGCAAATTGTTTAGGGAAAGTTTCATCACTTAAGTATTCACCCAAGCAGTGAGCAAATAGAGGATAATTTATGAGACCAGTTCATCCAGTACTAAACCAAATTAAACTAAACCTGATAACTACTGGAGGAGTGTGTTACATTATCTACCTGTATCCGCTAACCAACATTTGTCAAATGTTTTCGTCACCTTCAAAGGTAAGAGGTGGACATGATTTTTATTTGACAATTAATGAAACCTCAGGCACGTATTCAACTTTTCTAGATTTTCAGAAAGGAAACAATCCCTTTTAATTACTTCACTGTACATCCCATTGTGAGAAGCAAACTTCAGTTTGCTATATATAATTTGGCTTAATTTATAGCCCTTAAGAGTTTGATTGTGCTAGCTTCTTCAGTTTGATCCCTTACACTTGTAATTCCCTCATCCTTTTTCTATTGCCTGCTCCTCTGTCTCTCAAATGTGCCCCACTTCCTAATGCTCAGAAGATAACAGGGTCCCGTAACAACTCAGCACAGCCGAGTTATTACAAAGTCCATCCTTGGATCAGCCCAGGCTCCACTGTACCCTGCAGGTTGCAGAGTTGAACAGTACCAGCTGAAAGACCTCAAAGATGTTTGGGCCGGTCATAAATAGATTTGGCTGCTGAAGGAAATAAGTTACGTAGGGAAAAATGGATGTAGTGTGGGGTATTTTGAAGAGTCTAGCAGGTAGAAGAGTCATCAAAAGAGAAGAAACAGTGAGGAAATCTGAGTTTTCCTGTTCTGTATAAATACGTCTGTAACTGGCTTTCTCATTTAGGTGTTGGGGCATTTGCTGAAGATATGGCATGAGAAGTTCCATTCCCCTAAAAGTGTCCTAATTTCTGTAAAACTCTGAAAGATCTTGCTTTTCCCCATCAAAAAAGGGAACTTTTTTTTTAAAAAAAAAACTCATGAAAGCTTTTATATTTCAGCAAAACATTTTCATGCCCAACTCTAACTGGTGTGGGAAAGGATGATTTGACGTAGGAAATCATGACTATGTTGTATGTCATCATGACTCCCCTCCCAGCACCCCATTGTTTTTGATGATCTTTAATGGAGTGTTTGCTAAAAGATATGATTCCAATTTTGTGCATCCTATTGAGAATAGTTACACTTGTTGAAATAAAGGAGGGACAGAGTGGGACTGTATTGAGAACGCACTGACATCTCCCTCGTTCTTGAGTGCAAGTTTAGATTTTCTAAGCTCAGGTCATCGTTTTAAACTCTGAGCTGACAGGAGAGGATGAGTTCATTCTCGTAGGCGTTCATCTGTAGTCAGATGAACAGAAGAGTGGGTGGAGAAAGACACTGGCAGGCCATTGTAGTTCCCTCTGCCACTGGTAAATGATAACTGTCTACAACCTAATTTTACTGGGGATGTAGGTCCTAAGTGTGGCATTGGGTGCATTGTTTCGGGAAGCCAGATTTGTCCGCTGTGCTAGTGGAGAAATCTGAGGGTAATGCTCTACCTCAAGGCATGGGTGCAGTTGCTTTCTGTTTGTAGCTGAAGATTATTAACCCTGCTTTTTCTTTCTTTATTTATTTCTGCAGTACTGCCAGTAACTCAAACCGCAGCACACCTGCCTGCTCCCCGATCCTGCGCAAACGCTCCCGGTCCCCGACACCGCAGGACTCCCAAGGAGACACCATGGTGGAAAAAGGCTCAGACCACTCGTCAGACAAATCCCCTTCCACGCCGGAGCAGGGTGTACAGCGTAGCTGTTCCTCTCAGTCAGGCCGCAGTGGGGCCAAGAACTCCAAGGTGAGGAGCGAGCAAATGACTTTGGCCCAGATGTGCATGTGTCCCCAGTTCTAAACTCTTTAATGCAATACACTGGCTTTGTCCTGTGACATTTTTTCCCTCTGGCTAACTTTCCTCCTCCTTCCCCCATCGTATTTCTGAAAATGCTCCTAACAGGGAGCCATTTGTGTAGGTCAGACTTCAGCACAACTCTATCATCCTGTCAGCAACCTGAGTCCAGGAGTTGCTGGTGCCTTGTACCGCAGTTCCATGATGGCTTATGTAGGCTAACGTTTTTGCAGTCAAGGCCCTGTTTCATTGGGAGGCTCTGTGGTTTTGAGAAAGACCTTGAAAATCAGCTGTTGCAATTACATTTTATCATCTGGATCATGAAGGGTCATGGAACAAGTAAAGGTTCCTCTGTGCCAACAGCCTGAGAAGGGCCCATGAATTTCTCCAGTCCTGTCTAAGCTCTGTGTTGAGATGAGGTTCAAGTTGCACAGAATCAGTTTGCCAATCCTCTGCACATTGCCTCCTCTTGGTGCAGTGTTATGGCTGTCTTGACCAGGATAGATGATATTTTCCCTAGAAAGGTATTGTGTCATTTGACCATATTAGAAACGGCCTTGTCTTTGCTGTACTGAGGAAGAGGTTTTCAGGTTTGATGACTCTTGATTTTCTGTGAGCAGTGGGACCTTGTGAAACACACACGAAGGCCTTGGTAGCCAAACATAACCTTTGTTTATAACCCTGATGTCTGAGGTATATTACAAGACAGCGGTCAGGAGCACTTGTTTTTTTCTAGATTTTGGAAGTGGAATATTTCAGCCCGAATAACTTCACGGTGTCACAGGCATAACTCTCATGTCTTGTGTGAGATGAGTTGTTAGATCTTTGCCCGATTTATTCCTGGATTGTGTCATGCACACAAGAAGTCTTCATCCACTCCCCTTTGTGGACACTGTCAGCAGAGGAAACAGGATTCACTGGGGATGAGGGGGGGAGTACGTGAGCTCAGAGACTGGGGTGAGTGATTTTTTCAAGATGAATCATTTGAGACCTGTCAGTTCTGAGGCTGCCCTTGAAGTCAGACTTGCTTCCTGCCCACACAATGCCTTCCAAACCCTGCCCCAGGGTGCAGGACTGGATGGCAGCCTCCTGCGTTATGGTGCCAGCAGCTTGGCCCCAAAAGAAAGCTGTGCAGATGGGAGGGAGGCAGGCAGGATGCAGGGCACGCCATGCTCACAGCCACACAGGGGGACACTCTGTCAGGGAAATGGTGTCCCTGGTAAGGGGGGAAGTTACAGAGATGATTTGCACTGCCCTGGCCCATAAAGTGCTGGGACTTAAGGCTGTGCAAGTGTGATTTTTACCAACATGGTGACTGCTAAAGCCTGACTTTAATTCATGGTGCTTTTCACAAAGAAGGGGGGGAGGATATAATGCTTCCTGTTGGGTTTGTGGGTTTTCCTTCTCTTGATTTGCGAGGTAATTTTTCTTCTTTCCTTAATTTCTCTCTTTTCATTCCTGCATGCTTTCTCTCCGATTAAGTCACACAAGCGCCTCTCCAAAGTAAGCCTTCTTTTTTCTCTCCTGTCCCCCCACTGTAGAACTGTCTCATCACTCAGAAACCCTCCCCATGGTACTGAGCGGTGACCCCAGTAAAAGGCATTCTCCTGGTGCGGCTGCGAGAATGTCAGCAAGAGCTCAGCCCGATGCCTGTAGCCGAGAAGCTGGTTTCACTTATATCACTGGGATCTTATTAATATTTGCTCACATGGTGTGAGAACTGGCCTGTTCATCACACCCTTTCAATTACTTCCACCTAATTTTAGCCTTTGTTTTAAGGTTTGCTTTCCCTCTCTCTTGAAGTGAGTTGCTGTCTTTGCCAGGGAGAAATCTGCTGCCTTTGGTAGCCTGAACAGTACCACAATCCCTTCCCTTTCCTCTCTTCCTACTTTATGCCTTTCAGAAACAAGAGTTGATCACCGTAACGTCTTGCTTGCTTTTTATGATGAATAATAGTTTTGTGGCCAGTGATCTCAGCTTATTGCCCTTGCACGCTTTTCTGTGTGATGTAAATATTAAAGATCGGTGATTTCAAATGAACCCAGCTTAAACCTGTTAGAACAGACCTGTCCCAAATGAATTGTGAGAATTCATGGGCTCGCTCTGAAAGGTAATAAGTAGAAGATCCTTCTGTGGGTGCTTGGATTGGAGATAAGCTCATTTGGGATTTGATCTCACATCCCTATGCTACCCTCAGAAGAGTGTAAAAATCAGAGATGCAGATGGGATGCTTATTGGACAAAGTACCAGGCTGTTGGCATTTCCACACGTATACAAGTTAAAACCAGAATGGCTTGGATGGCTTCATAATCCACGAAATCAATGCCTTGGCCTTTCCCCAGTTGATGCCTTAGATTTCATTCTAGGCAAGTTCTTAGAGAGCAGTGAAGTCTACAGTGCTGACTTACTGTTTTTCCTTGGTCATAATGCCTCTTGTAACCAGCCTGACCTTGCATGATTGCTGGTGTCTGCTGGAAGCTTCTTTATGTCTTTTTTTTAGACAGATTGTCTTGTGCTTGGTAACCATAGCTTGGATAACTGCGAAGGACTGTGGGACTAATGTCTCAGGTGAGGTATGAAAGAAGTTCTGTGGAAAAGGCAGGTCTGGAGTAGCAGAGAGTCCTGAAAGGAGTGCTGGTGAGTAGAGGTGCGTGGGTCAGGACAGGTCGTGGCAAGCTGGAGGCACTTTGTCTAAGCTTGGGAGAGGTTTGTTAGGGGAGGGACTGGTGGGAAGAACATTGGTAGAGAGCAATGTGTGCATAAAGCATACGCGTAGTGGTGATGTGCTTGCAGTCAATGCCTTGCTTTTCTGTGAGAAAAAACCCAATAACTTTAAGACAATAAGAGAAACAAGAGGGGCATGGACCTCAGATGAGTTCCAGTGCGAGGAAGACGATGCACAGAGGGAAGGGGACCCCGGGCCAGCCTCTGTCAGAGCCTCCTGCCCTGCTCCCCCACTGTCTGTGCACAGCGTGAGCCCGAAGCAGTGCAAAGGCTGATTCTCTTTTCTGTGCTTCACAAGGTGACTTTCTCCGGTACAAGTGAGGAATCTCAGGTGTAATAAGCCCCCTGATTCTCCCCACACAGATGATGATGGTATCTGTTCAAGGCAGGGAGAGGTTAGGAACAAGGAACTTAAGGACAAAGATTTTAAAATCTCCTTCTCAGGCTCTTCTCTCCCTACCTGTCTTCTGCAAGACGAATGGTCTGATTTCTCAACCTGTCTCGCTAATGAAATGAAACAGCTTGAGCCCATGAGTTTGATGCTGTGTTTATACAATTGCTGACAGATCTGCTTGAAGTCCCTTGCCTTCTTTTGTCTGTTGTGTTAATTGTCGTGCTGCAGTGTTGCCATGAGAGGGAGCACTTCACCAGGAGTTTTTAAGCACTGGATTACATCTGTAGGAAATCTCTTCTGGAGCTTGATTTCCCATCTTGTCCACCGGTGTGGCCTGGACCAAACCACCTATTAGGTCTGCGTCAGCCTTAGGCTTTTACTGGCAAACACTGCTGCTTCAGGAACATCTTTCTGAACTCAGCAGAAAAAAACCCTTTTTGCTAGCAGCCAAAAATGGAATACATATTTTTAACTCTTTTGCTCTTGGCCAAGGATAAAAGTGATTTCCTCTCCATTGCAAATCCTTCAGATCCCTCCCACTGACTACAGCTAATAATGAATGCTGAGGATAAATACCAGGTTAGGAGAAGGTGTGAATTTTGATGTAGACCCTGGAGACTGTAGAACTGTTTAGGTCGGAAGGGATCTCGGGAATTCTCTAGCCCAAGCCCCTGCTCAAAGCAAGGCTGATGCAGTTAGATCAGGTTGGTCTGAAGTCTTGGCCAGCCACGTTTTGCAAACCTCCAAGACTGGAGATCCCACAGCCTCATCGGGCCCCTGCTCCAGTGCTTAACCACTCTTGTTGTGAACAGGCTTTTTCCTTCTACCCGAATAGAATTTCCCTTACTGCAGCTTATGACTGTTGCACCTTGTCCTTTCAGTGTGCGATTATGAGAAGAGTTTGGCTGTATCTTCTCATTTACCCCTTCCACAGAGTGGTATAGTCGCCCTTTAGGTAGTAGGTCATGAAATTCTGGTAGTTTTGGACTGGAGTAGAGGATTTGGGAATAAATTTCATTAATTTCTTTGAGTTATTTGGCCATGGGCATTTAGAAGCCAGGTGAATAGCATAGATTTTGGAAGTATGTAAGTCAGGAGAAAGGGCTCTGGAATCTGTTCTGAGCTCTGCCCTTACCCTGCTTCCTTACCGCTGTTTCCCCAGTTGTAAAATGGACTTAGGGATACTTCTAGAGCTCTGTGGCACGTCATTCACTCGGCAAAAGGTTTCCATTCCCCTGGAAGCAGCAGGATGTAGGACTGAGTGGTGATCCTGCTCCCAGTAATATTGAAAGGTGGAAACTTCTGTTGGCATCGTTAGCAGGCGGAACTTCACGTGCGTGATCCACTGCTTCCCATCTGCACTGTAAAGCTGTGATCTTCCATAGCAGTATATGCAAACATGAGATCGTTAACCCATGAAGATTTAGAGGCAACACTATGGTAATTAAAGGCTCAGAGAAAATACCCCATTTTTCACCTTCCTCAAGTTCTCCTAAGTTCGTACTCGTTACAGCCACCATGTAACTATGAACTCTGCTATCTGCTCCTATAGCATTGTTTCTGCAAATCAGTTACATCCTTTCCACTTCTGTGTGTAACTCCATACCTCTGTTACTTACTTATTTTCTCTTTTCTGTTCTAATGCTTATGGTTTCTTTTTCCAGTATGACAGACTTAACCTGCTCAAAGTAAGAATATGTTTTTCCTTTTTCTTTCTTTTTCCCTTCCATTATGCCGTCTCTTAATTTTCACAGTTCGCATCCCCCTATATTCTGACTCTCAGTGAGTTACAAAAAAAAGGTAAATATAATTGAAGCTTGATTCAAGGACTTGGAGAGTTTCCCTTCTCTTTGGACTTGTAGTCTGTTCTACCTGCAAAACGGATCAGGGGGAAGGAATCCACTCATGTTTAGAAAACTTGGTGGAGGCAGAAGATGGGGCTTGGCTGTCAGTATCACTGTGTGGAAGAGCTTAAGAAAGGAGGAGCTGCAGAGCTCTTACAGAGGAGCAGCAGTTTGGGGAAATTCAAATGTAAGGGGTAAAAAGAGTTACTGCAATTAATGTAGCAGAGGGGAGTGAAATCCTGTTGCAGCGTGCTGACACCACAACATGTGCACCCTGATTTAGAAGACACAGTGACAGCAGTGGCTCTGCTTTCTCTATGCCAATTATAGTTTGATTATGAATCTTTTTTCCCCAGGAATCTCTGAGTTATGCGTTTTGCTCATTAAGGCAGACAGATGGCAAAACAAACCTGCAGGAAAACTTACTCCGTGTTAGACACTGTGCTCCTGAGGACAAGGTGGTGTGTGTATGTGGGTTAAGATTAGTTCCCCCAATTTTTTTTAGTATAGGCTGAATTGCATAAGGTCTTTTTCCATGTCCTACTTGCAGAGAAGGATGACTTCAGCCAGACCCTTTATGAATGGAGGGTATGGCCAAGTATGGAAGAGCATAGGAAACAAGAAATTCCACTGGTTAGTTGATAAGCCATACTGTGTATTCAGTTCTTTGGTTCATATCCTTTCCCCAGGATTTGGGGAAAGGCCTTAGATGTGTTCCTCTTTTTAACGTCAGACTTCTGTATTTTGGCCTATGGCATGTCCTGTGTTACTGTGGGGTTTTTCATTAGAGACCAGTGAAGCAAAACTGGCAGAAATGCCCAAGTTTGCAAGGGATCCTTCAGAAATGTCAGCTTCGTGAATGAGATCCAGATGCCAGTAGTGTTGTTTACTGGAGTGCCACACAGGCAGTGTAGGAAACTGAAAGCAGGGAGGTCTAGGGACAGAACAGTGTAAGCAACCCCATGTCTTCATAGAAATCTCTGGTCCAGTCTGATCTCATTAACACTTTGCGCTTACTTTCCTTGGGTAAACATCCTGTACGTCATTGGTCCTGCTGTGGGCTGTCCCAGTGCCAGGTAGTTTCTGTGTTTCTGTGAATATGCACTTCAGTCTCTGAGTGAAACTTCCACGGGCTCTGTTACAAGCCAGAGAACAGTATGTTTTCCTTCATATTCCAGACTGGATATCTAAAGCTGTGAAAATTACTTCCAGTCCAAGGTCAGAAGCAAGAGGACTTCAAAGAAGGAAATGCAGTGAAATACTGCTTCTGTCCTTGTCTATCAGACTCAGCTCCCCCAGGTGTATTGTGGACGTGCCATTGCTGGTTGGATGACGGGGCTGCTGACGTACAACGTGCCTGCTAATGCGCACTGTAGCTGACCACCGTTTGTGGCAAAAGGCTACAGTGCCCCAAGCTTCATTGCCCTGAGGCAAATCCACCCTAAAACGGGGGATGCCTGTACTTTCTGTCAGTTCTGCTCAGTGTCCTGACATTGGAAAGTCAGCCTGACTGGAGTGGGAGTGTGAAGCTTATTTCTTCCTCTCTCTGTGCAGATAAATCTCACCTCCAGCTGAAAATTGCCAAGTGTGACTTTCCAAGCTGAGCTAGCTTTTTCATATGCTCCAGTGCGACATGTGGCCTGTCCTCTCAAATCATCTGAAATGCCATGATAAGGACAAAAAAAATCACATGTGCAGATGATGCAAAACACTGTGCACTGAAATTCTGAAAAAAAAAAAAAAAAACAAAAACAAAAACCCAACTATGCCAGCCTTTTTTTTTTTTATGATTTGCTTAGCTTTTCCTAGTGATTTTCTTCAGCAGTTTTCCCGACCTCTGTATCATTCTCCCCTTTAAAATACTATTGAAAGTTTTGCCTGATGGATTTTGTTGGGTGAAATTGTGTCCCTGCCTCCTGGCAGTTCTTCGAGGGCTTATTTGCACAGAGTCAGTTCAACACAATGTGATTTTTGCAACCTAGCCAGCAGACGTGGAAGAATGAAGCCTCTAAAAGAAATGGCTGGCAGTGGTTATGATTAGCTCCTCTGTTGCTGGTGGGCGCTGCTGTTCTGCAAAAATGATTACAGCATGCGCGTGTGAGTTTGTGTGTGTGTGCGTGCATGTGGACATGCACACAGGAGCCTGAATTGTTTCCTATTATGGACTCGTGCTTCAGGATTTGTTCTTTGTTCCTGTAACTGGAAAGAACTGTGTTAGACCACACTGTGAAATCCACTGAAATCTTCTGTTTAATCCCACTTTCACTTCACTAATTATACAAACCAGATTGGACCTAGTTTCTCTGTCCATCTTTCTTTTTTGATCCTAAGATCTCTGTGCTAACTAATGCTTCTCTTTTATTTTGTCCTTACAGAAAAGCCAGAGTTGGTATAATGTAAGTACTCCAGTTTCTCTTGTCCCTGGGTGACTGTGGGCTGGGTACCTGGGTGGGGGGGAAGGTGCAAAGGGGCTTTGCAGTGGCACTGGGGCATACTGGCCATTTGCAAAAAGAAGAGTTGGAAATGGCTCAGGACTGACATCCTGAGGGAAAGGATGCCAGAGATAGAGAGCAAAGGCTTTGTCTTTTTAGTCACTCTTCCGATGATCCCCACATCCTGTACCTTCCAGTTTCCCAGCAGAGTTGGTCTTGATGTGGTGACAAACAGAGCGGCCACCGTGCAAACCCTTTGCATCTCTCAGGGTGGTGTGGGGTGAGAGAGGAATTATTTTCTATTGACCTCGCAGAAACACAAACCATCTTTTGCTTCTGCCTTGATCTTATTTTCGTTCCACAAACACAAGTGGCAGTGGTTTTGGTACAAAGCTGGTGGTGTGCAAATCTCCACAATCAGTGTCACTTTTGCACGGTTGAACCCTGCGCCTCGAGTGCTCTAAAGTAGGTGGTAGGCAAATGCAGCAGCCGTTCCATGTTCAGCTACAGTTCCTACCTTCCTGCAGCCTACCATATTAGAACCAGTGATATGGGTGGTCAGATTGGATGGAGGCATGAGAGGCAGACTTATTTACTTGCTGTATATAATCAGTGCCAGGGTAGTAGCAAGAACAGGAAAAGATGTGATCCCAGAAGCAGAGGGCAGCATAGAGGCAATGGCATTAAGAATGATGTATAAACCATGGGAGGCCACACTGGTGGAGAAGTGGCAGATGAAGGAGTGTGGAGTGAGGCAGTTTGGGCAGATGCACAGGCCCAGCCAGGCTGCTGCAAAAATGTGAATCTGTGGCCGTGGCTATAGGTGACTTTTGCTGTTAATCAAGAGCTGCTTCTGACCGTAGCTGCTGAGATCCGTACCCTGCTGCATGATGCTTTGCTGTGGTCTGCTCGTGTGGGTCTTGTGTTCTCATGTCCTCTCTATCTTATCTTTCTGTTTTCTTGTTTTTCCTCCATATATTTTCAGCATGAGAGACAGTACATCCGGAGAGTAAGCACTGGCTTCATTTATTTGTGGTTTACCTCCCCCCTCCCCGCCCCGTTATTTTCCTTTAAAAAACAAAACAAAACCAAACCATGTTCTAGTTAGTAGAGACATTCTGGCCAGATAAAAGCAGCAATGTGGAAATACGGATGGGCTGCAAACTCCAGGAAGGCAGTCAATCCTACCTGGTAGTATTACTACTACCATTAAAAGTTTGCTGATGCATCTCCTTGATACAGTTTCCCTTCCTTGCCAACTCCTTCCAGACAGGATTTTTCTGGCATTTGGACCACTCAGATTCTTCTATTCCTTTCCCTGCTGAGAGCAGCTCTAGAAATGAATCTGTGAAGGCCACCCCTTCATGAAGCCTTACAATTTCCTTTACTCACTTGCCCCACTTTCATGTTATGTAAACTTCACTATGCTCAGAGCAAACACACTCCACATAGTTCTTTGTGCCAGTTCAGCAGCCCCGGGTACCAGGCACTCTGCAAACACAAACCAAAAGTATGGTCCTTACCTCAAAGAGCACAGAGTCCTCAAAGATGCCCAGTGCACCAGTGGTCAGAACGCCACTTTTCTGAGATGACTTCAGTTTTTGCTGCTTTTAACTGGTCTTTTTGTCCATGTAGCACTGCATCCCTCTTTGCTAGTTGGGAACCCTTCCTTTTCCCTCTCCTGGATTCCTTTTTCTCTACTTTTTCCTTAAGATGGTACCAACTTCTCTTGCCTTGTGCGTTCTCCTTTTGATCCTACCAGTGCTTTTTGGGATTGACATCCCTACCAGATTGAAAAGTGGGAAAAAAGGGGTGAACTAAAGTCATGGATTGGTTTGGCAGACCTGCCCTTTCTTGGTTTTGGTGTGTTTTCTCTTCTTTGCTTTCCAGAGGACAAATGCAAACTGGTCCAGGTGCACTGTGAGATTTAGAAAAGAACACCAGTTTGAGAATAAATATACTCAACCTTACAGGGCTTCTTTGTGTTCGAGTCCTCGTGATGGAAGAGCAGACTATCACTGGGCTGGCTGAGTTCACTAGCAGTGGAAAGAAAATGTCCCTGAGGTGTTTCTGATGCCTTTTGTGAGGAACCGCAGACATAGAGACTGGTTTAGCAGAACTGTTACTCTTAGGGAGTAAAACTCAAGTTTGTTGGTCAGCTGAGGTTTAGACCCCATCCGTCTGTGCTTAGCTGTCAGGATGCAGTTTGCATGTGTCTGCTTTGGACTTGTGTGTCTGCATGTTGAATTATTAATTGATTTATTATTTAGAATTTTTTTTTTTTTAAGAATAGACCTCAAAACCAAACTTCCTTTGTAATTTTGTTTACTGAAACAGAGATGTGACTTACTCTGTAGACCTGATGTGCTTAGAGAGGTGTTTCACTTCCCTGATGACATGAAGGAGGAGGTCACACTGGCTGTGTGGTGGCAGGAACTCCCACAAGTTGGTAGAAGGAATTTGTCACCCAGCAGACCTCATTAAAATTAGAGACAAACTGGAGATATTTTGCTGCCAAGGGCAAAAGCGCCTTCCTTCTCCTCCTCCTCTCTGGGCTTTGGGTGAAGGGCCCCATTTCTGAGCAAGGAGGAGCTCTCAGTTTTTCTGTCCTGAGGTCAGTGTACAGTTGAGGCACTGAGCCTAGCAAGTCTGCCATGTTTGTTTGTTTGTTTGTTTGTTTGTTTTTTCTGCCTACTTTTCTCTCAGCTGGTCTGTCGATCCTTCTACTTCCCTGACTGTTCCTAAACTAGGGTGTATGTTTCCAGTTTTGCGCAGCATTTCTAGCTGCCAATCTGTAGCAAGGCTTGCTTCTGTAAATTGCCTCCAGTAGTCCCTGTTCTGGTAGATGCAGTCATCAGCAGAATCTACAGAGCATACTCCTGGAAAAGAGAGTGAGATGGTCTTGAAAAGTTAGAGCAAACGCAATTGACACCAGGGGAGAGGTGAGATATATATCTGTCTACGAGGTTTCCATTTTACTCTTTAGATCTCAAGGTCTGCCCAACTCTGTACTCCTTTCCTATGTGTTTATCTATGCAAATTGCTTTCACCTGCCTTCTCTTTTGCAATCATGCTTGAATTTTCTTCTTACAGCTTCTCCCTGTAGCTGACCTGAACCACCCTCTCTCCACCTACATGAAGGATAGCCCCACAGTGGTTAGTGGGGAAAAAAAAAAATTACAGTGAAAAGACACTAATTGTCTCTTTCAGGTGTTTTTAAATATTACTAGAAACATTTGCTGTCCTGAAAAGTTCAGCAGGACCACAGTTCAACCCACTTGTCTTTGGGAGAGGGTTGCACAGAGCGGGACAGGAGCCCTGCACCTGCAGTTCTGCAAACAAATGCTGTGCACACAGGGCAGCTCTTAGCTTGGCTTGTAAGAGGTGAAAGTCTCAAAAATAAATCCGGTCAAGTGCAAATAGGTAGCCATATAAAGGAGAGAGCCCTAGGTTTTCCTTGGGGAAAACTGTGGCAACAGCCTGTGCACTAGGAGTTAGGAGGTGGCTGGGAATCTGGTGGGCTGTGATGCTGCAAAGGGCCTTTCTTTGTGGAGACCTTTGAGCAGCGCTTGTGGCTTCTTAAGAGCCAACCTCAAGCCATCACAAGACTGAATGCCGTAAGAAATCAGCCTTTGCTGGTCATGGTGTGCTGTCTTTTTTTCTTGCAGTACCCTCTTGGAGACCTTGCAGATACCAGAGTGGAGGGGGAAACTCAGCTGTTTGAAAGAGTAAAAGGTTCCCTGTGAAGGCAAAGAGAGTGAAATTATGCATCATTTTAGGGAAGACATCAGAAACAGCTTTCCAGTGGGTGGCAGCCTGAATCTGACTCAGCAACAGCAGTCATATAAATAGGGTTTATTGCAAAAATCCAGGCGCAGTGATGAGTTGGCAAGGTGTTGAACAAACGGCCTTGTTCTCTGTAAATCAGCGCAATCATCTTTTAAGTTCCAGAAACTGTTTTGTCAAGCTAATTCTGGAGCATTGTTAACTCATTGTCTTTCAGGTATTTTTCATCCCTTCAGATTTTCCATGGGTTTAGGTGGATGAATTACCAGGCCTGGCACGGTTACAGTGGTGTAGAGGCACTGAATTAGAAGTGACCTTTTGGTGCAAGCTCATGTGATGATGAACTCAAATTCACTCTCCACCCCAAATGGCCAGTGATTACTTTGAAGCTTCTTCCTCTGCTGTTCCTTCACTTTTAAAAGGGAAAAAAAAAAAAAAGAAAGAGGGGGGAAAAAAAGCAGAGAGACCGGATCGGGTTTGGAAGAAATGCTGTGGGCCAGGTGGCCAGTCCCTTTGCTGGCATCAATCAGTGTAGAAGTCCTGCTGTTGGTGGGGTCTAAACTCTCCCACAGAGGCAGGGAATGTATTCTGTTCTTTTCCAGTAGCTTCCCTGTTCTGTCCAGAAGCAATGTAAACCTTCCCTGAAGAGTTAAGAGCAAGTCCATCAGTCATGCAAATTGGATGAGATTTTCCTCCCCTCCTTTCTCTCTGCCTCTTGCTATCTCTCCTCCTCACCTGTTTGCTGTGATGTGTGCTGTACAAGACCATACCTTTTCACACTTCCCTGTCCCGTCCCATCCCCCAGCAACAGTTCCTTTAAATTTCCTGTCGAAGGATTTGTTTGTGCATTAACAGAGGGAGATCTTGCCCTGGGGAGTCACCCTTTTCTCCACATGTCCGACACCGAGCCTCTTCCCTGCCCAGTGCCATCCTGTCCCGTCTCTCTCTGTTTGCAGTAGAGTTAATGTTTGCTGTTTCCACCTCCAGGTTAGCTCTTTCGATCACTTGTGCCATTCATCTCTCCAAATAGAGGTGGGTGGGTGTGTAGACAGAAGCATCCTGGTGAGGTTTTTTTTTGGAAATAATCCCATAAGCAGTTTCCAGCAGAGAGAGCCATTCAGTAAAGCAATGCAGGTACCTCGCAGATGTCTGTAATCCTGATTTTTGTCCTTCCCAGGCTACAGAAATTTTGTTTATTGTTCCCTCATCTTGGGGTGGCAGATGGGTGTACTGCTTCCTTCTAACAGGGCTAAATGGAGAGACCTGTGTGCTATCTAGCACCAGCAATGCTTCTGTGGTGCATCTGAGCAGAGAGAGCACTTGTCAGCTCTTCCTCTCAGTGAGTGAACTGCAGTCACTGGCCCTGGGATGAAACAGTGGCTTTGCAGAAGCTTGGTTGGTTGTGTTTTTTTTTTTTTGTTGTTGTTTTGTTTTGTGTTTTTTGACATCTGGATGCCCAGTTTGTTAGGAAGAATGAGGATTTTACTTCTTCAGTATACTTACTTCCTCAGACTCAGCATCATGGCTGAGCAGCACTGGTGTTGTGGTGGGGACATTTCCCTGTGCATTTCTGCACTCGGGTGGAGAGATGGAGAGGCCAGGGACCCAGGACAGAGGGCTACGCAGAGTTCCAGTGCTCCAAGGAATCTTCCTGGGATCTGCAGGGAGTTAATTTGCTGGAGCCTGAAGGAAGCGCTTGCCCTTGATTTGCAAAGTGACTGGACTAATGAATGAAACCTAGAAAGACCTGTGCTTTTGGGGCGGAGCTCAGGGATACGTATAGGAGAAGCAGAACCCTTAAGATTACTGACTGTGTGGGTCTCACACGGCTGATTTCTCATAGCCATATTCTTCAGACTGGTCTCTCCTTACTCCCCTCACGCCTCCCCCAGCGCACTCTGTCCAGCAACTTTCCATTACAGGAAACATCTGCTGGGAGGCAGGGCTGAGCCTGGGTTACTGCAGGGCATTGGCCGACAGAATTACCCAGCTACAGTAACTTAAAGCATGTGCGAGTCATTTTGGTATCTTCCCCACCCGCTCCTTCCACCAGAAACGTTAACAAAGACTGAAGCTGCCCTTCAGAGCAGAGAGGGACTAGAGAGCAGAGCCTGAGACAGACACTGAAGGAATAACTGCTTTTCTGGCTTGAAAGGGGAAAAAAAACCACCAAGCAGCTGAAGTCTCTGAGCTGTTTACCATCCTGTCCAGTCCTGGAAACTGCGGCTAGATCTGTGAATTACAACTAGTCCGGTGGGGTCCGGGCGGTCGGAGCTATTTCGGTTGCGAGCTCCAGCAGTCCTGGGCATCGGGCCTCGGCCGGGAGCTGCAGATGCCGTGCACAGACCTGCCCGGGACTGCTCAGGCTGTCGGCACTTTCGCGGTGCTTCTTTAAGGGATGCCCACGGCAAGAGGCTGATGAGGCTGGAGCAGAAGAGTACAAAGGTTGCCCTCCAGCACGCTTACCCTAATGAGCCACTTTTTCAAAGTCCTCTGGAGGGCAAATCCCCTCTCAGATCTGCAGAGGCTGCTAGGGCAGATGACCTGAATGTGAGCAGGGAAGTAGGGGAAGGCACGTAAACTCCTGCCAAACTGCTGTATCTCTTTCGACTTGGAATCTAAACAAGAAGCGGTGACAGCGGGAACAGGAAAAGCAGAGTTTGACAGAACGCGGGGAGCTGAGCGGCGGGAACGCTATGGATTCCTTGCTGGAGTGTGGGGCGCTCTGGGATCTTGTGCTGGATCAAGAACTGCCATGTCTGCTGTGGGACCTGGAGGGACTTGTCGACTTACCGCAAGAAAATGTCAGCCGTGGATCAGATGAAATTCCAGCCGTGAGTGTCTCCAAACTGAACTGTTTGTCACTCTGAAGTTCTGGTGCTAAGCAGAGGCGTCTGTTGTAGTGCAGGTTTGAGACGGGTCAGAGCATCCCTTACTGTGGGGAAGGGAGGGGGACACCCCTCCACATGGAAACTGTGCTCCTGAGTTGGGTGGTTGTAATGCATTGAACCCAAAGCCCAGAGCTGATTATAATCTCTGTTCCCCCCTCCTTTCCCATCCTATCTGCTTGTCCCAGGAAGTCTTGGGCTTGGGCTTTTGCTGGAGCCCATCTCTGACCAAGATCTTTTCCAGAGGTTCAGGTTAGAAGTTTGGTAAGTAAATTTCATATTTCTGTCATCTGTTGGTTAGCAGATTTTATTCAGAAGTGAGAAACTTTCCTTGGGGCCTGCAGGACTGGATCAAGTATCTGAAGTGCTCAGTTGATGTTAAAAAAGGTTATTTCCAGTTCATTGAATTGGTGTGAGGAAGAGGGAATGCTTTTGGGGGGTGGGGGGTTGTCTGTGTTTCCTTCTTTGATTCGACAGCATTTGACAATTCTGTAAGGCTAATGCTAAACGAACTTCATCTTCCTCCCACCCCTGTGATGCCCCCAACACCATTCTCAAGGAAAAGCTACCTTCTGTAATCACTTTAATTTTGGGGGCCCTTGCTGGGAAGCTCTGAGGTGTGCTCACCTTTCTGCTTTGGGACATTCGTCTTGTGCAGCTGGAAGTGATAGGAGAGGGTTGTTGAGAGGGAATGGAAATAGGGAGGGAAGAGGTTGTACCGCAGGCTGCTTTGCCTTCCCTACATTTGTGGGAGAAGGACTGTGGTAGATCAGATGGGAGATACGGGCCTCCTGAATTTGCACCTGCCTCTATTTCGGTCAACTCTGCCTTCAGAAGATGTTCTGGCTCGTAAGAGCAGCTGTTGGCACGGACGTGGTGTGTAGGAGGTGGTCTAACGTGGACAGGGTCATGTTGTAGTTTAGTAAATACCAGGGAGAAGCCAGCTCCTGGTCTCCCTCCAGCCAACAGTACCAACTATCTCTGAGGCCTTCCATGAGGCCAAGTGTCTGCAGAATAAGCGCAAAACATGGTTGAGTCCCTGCGAGAGCCTCTTTTGAGCCCCACAAATTGTTCTTGCTATACCAGCGGGTTGCGTGTTCATTGACTGCCAGGTGGAGCACTTGATGGGGAGAGGAGCGGGGATGACTGCACTGTTTCTGAGCGTTATTGATGACAGAGATGGTTCTGGTTCCTCTGGCAGGGCTGCCGCTGTACTAAAGTGCCTATTTTCTAGGGTTGCTGTGCTGCTCCTGGGAGAGCTGGGGATTGGCGGCTGACTGATGCATTGCGAACAAAGCATGTGTCATACCTTGTACAGTCTAGAATTGCAGGAAAAGAGATTTCTCCTGCAGCCACAGCTTCCATGCAATCGTGTTTTGCAATCTAGCAGATATGGGTATAGCCCTTCTACACTGTACTTGCTCTTCCAAGTCAGGTTCTCCTCCTCTTCTCGCTTAATGCACTAAATCCCAAATCCTCCCATCTGTGTGTCTGCTGCGATGGGAGCTCCTAGCCTCATGCTTTGTAAGTGCATCTGATCCCCCTTCTCCTTACCAAGGTGTTCCCGTTTTCCCACTCCATTTCTCTGTATTCATGCCTGCCCCTCTCTTTAACAGGCACTCTGTTATTTGCAGGTGTTGAGTCCAACTTACAAACAACGGAATGAAGATTTCAGGAAACTCTTCAAACAGCTTCCTGACACGGAGCGCCTCATCGTAGGTAAGGTCAGCCCCTTGCTGCAGTGCTCTTGTGCTGGCCCATGGTTTGGGGAGGAAATCCAGCACGTGCGCATGCAGCTTTTTCATCTTCAAAGAGATTGCCACCAAGGAACAATCCCACCGTGTCTTTCCTGTGCCTGGATGGAACCCCTCTTCGCCATTTCTTGTGGGTTTAATTCGTTTGGCTTCAGGGAGAGCAACGCTGATTTGTATCAGCTACGGCTCTGTTTCCTCATGATTCGAGGAGTGTGTTTTCCTCCTCAGTGCTCCCCCAAACCCGACAGTGTATTAGTGTTTGAGCTCTTTCGTCATTTGGTCAGGGTTGCATCTCTCAACATGCCGAGCCTCCCTTTTTCCTGACATCCCTGATGCGCCCTACTCACACATGACTGCCCTTCCCATGCCCATGTAGGCTTTGGCCTTGCAGCTGATTAGTGACTGCCTAGTGCATTGCATCTGTTCTTTTATGTAACTGGTGATCTCATACTGTTGAAAGATGCATGTGCTAGCAGAGGAATAGAAATTGTTTAGGATGCCTAAACTGGGGAGGAAATGAACAAGAGCACTAGAAGGCAAAAAGGAAAAGACAGATTAAAATCTGGAAATAGTACCTAGGATGCTACAGAATGACCAGCTAATAAGGCAAGATCGTCAGTCAGTCAGACAGATGGTCTGTGAGGTGCCCTTGAGAGGAATCGTAACCGAGGGGGCAGAGCAGCAGCTGCAGCTCAGTTCCTTCTGGCTCTGCCTTGGACTTTCTGTGGGATCGTGTCAAGTAGCTGCTTCTCTTGGTGCTGCTGCTTACCCTCACCTTTAGCCTGTCCTGTTTTCTGGCCTCGGTGCTCCTAAATTCCCGTCTGTTGTCCACCCACAGATTACTCATGTGCGCTACAGAGAGACATTCTCCTGCAGGGCCGCCTCTACCTCTCTGAAAACTGGATCTGCTTTTATAGCAACATCTTCCGTTGGGAGACACTGGTAAGGCTGTCAGACTGCCGCACTGAGCATGTATTTTATGTCAGTATATTTGCTGACATTGCTTTAAAAGCACTCTTGCCGTTGTCTTTCTCATCAGTGTCTCTCTTTACCTGTGTTCTTTTTCTGCCTTCCCCTTTCTGCATGGCTCTGACTGTAGCTGACAGTTCGCTTGAAGGATATCTGCTCGATGACCAAGGAAAAAACAGCACGGCTCATTCCTAATGCCATCCAAGTTTGCACTGACACTGAAAAGGTACATCCTTGAAGCCTCCACCTCTGGGGCCACCCCTCCTGGCTGTCGGGGCAGGGAAATAGAAGTGTGTTGTGGGATCTTTCCAAACTGACTGCTTGTGCTACCTGGAGCCTGGGAGGAAGCACCAAGGGAACAGGGCTGGGTGTGGAGCTTCTGAGACCTTGGGCTGAGCCTGGAGCACACGTAGCTCGTATGTGGGGTGTGGGGCCAGGGAGGAGATCCGGGTTATGTAGTAGCACATCTCTAACAGAACTGTTTCTGTGCTCAGACTCTCTCCCTGGGTGAGGCACGCTCAGTAACTCCGTGAGCTTCAGTCTGTGCCCAAGAACTGAGCAGCTGTGCTGTATGGCTTGCTCAGCCCTCCCGTGAACTGTAGCTGGAAAGCGATCCACACAGGCTCGTCTCTTCTCCTTCCCTTTTTTGGGCCTTTTCTGAACTGATTTTTCTCTCCATCTCTTCCCATTCAGCACTTTTTTACTTCCTTTGGGGCTCGAGACAGGACGTACATGATGATGTTCAGACTCTGGCAGAATGCTCTCCTTGACAAGGTACAGAGCCCAGCACCTCAGTGCTGGGGTGGGATGAAAGGGAGATGGTGAATATATGCAGAAGCATATTACCTGTAACTAATGTATATGCATAAAAAGGTGTAGGGGCAGTAAGCACATGTTTAGGCAGAGCAGGTACATAAGTGCAGGTGCAGTTCTCTCTTTTCACATGGAATTCTCTTTATGTGTAGACCTGTCTTGCACACACAGTAGGTGCCACTTTGCCTCTGCTGAGGTGTGGAAGCATCACGTCTCAGGAAGGACTTTTTTTGAGGTCCATAATTCAAGTGAAACAGCCCAGAAGCGAGCAGTTCAAAATGCAACAAAAATAGCTCATTGCCCAGGCAAACCACTTAGTAAGTCTGTGCTTCAGCAGTGTAGGGTTCAAGATAGGACAGAAAAAGAGCGTGTGTCCAGGATTTTCCAAAACCACGTGAGAACAGTGGTGGGTATGGGGTGCACTGGGTAAGGGGTCAGTGGGTTGGATTTTAAAATAAAGCAGGGATGTGCACCTGCTGTGCCAGAGGCCCCATATATCCTATATTTGATCTGAGTATCTGTTCCACAGTCCATTGAGTATTTCTGGCCTCACTGCATGTAAGACTCATGAACTGATGTTACAGTGCTACCAGCATTCTGAGACATCCTGGCTTGAGTTCGTGCCATACTGGAAGGCTTAAGTAATCAAACACCCAGAATACCCTGTCCCGAAAATCAGGATAGTGTTTAGGATGCAAAAGGATCTCTTTGCATTGGGCAGCTTGTGTTGCTGCCGTATGTTGTAATTTGATCGGCCTTCTGAAGTTCCTAATAAAATTCAGTGCCCTCGGTTTCAAGGTCGAAGCAAACGGGAACTGAGGCGTGGAGTGATAAAGCCAGGAAATGCTTCCAGAGCTCTTTTCCCAGATGTAGGATCCATGCCTGGCAGGAGAGAGGGAGAAAGAACCCGGTCCATTTTTCCCGATAAGACATGTAGATTAGAGTGCATGTGGGAAGAAGGTGAAACAGACCTTTTCTGGATAAAAGTTTCTTACTACAGGCTTTTTCCCATGCTTCTGATTGCTACTTTTGGGAGCTAGATTAAAAATCTCCTGCCTTATCCCATGCAGTAACTATGGGAAGAAGTTCAAGCCAGCAACTCGGAGAAAGTTCACTAGATTTGTTTTCCCTCATTACCAAGAAATCTCTGTCATTGGTCATAAATTTCTCATGGGTAAAAATCCAATCCCTTTCATCCCTGTACCACATATTTAAATGACAAGTTCTCCTGCCCTGTTTCTTAAGAACTTCAGAATGCGGTCATATGGTGATCAACTGACTTGCAGCCCTAAAAAGCTGGGCTTTCGTGAACGGCCTTGGTAATTAATTTTCTCTTTTTAACTGGAAGTGTATATAAGCTTTTCACAATAGTATCTGGTGAGACAAACTCTTTTTAAGTTGCAACAGGAAATGTTTTTCTTTGTTGCTGTTTTAGATTGTTTTCCCTGCAGCTGTAATTCTGTAGGCAGCTTTAATTTAAACAAAGTTGGAGGGGAAGAAACCTCATGAGGCTTTGGGGTTTGGTGTAGTAGGAGACATTAAATGGAGACATAGCAGAAGAGGCAGGGAAAACGTGTGGAGGGAAGTGTGGGTTTACTGCTTACATTATTACATGCACGGCATTATAGTAGCGGGAAATCTCATTTTGTGTGCTGCTCTGGGTGTAGCCTCACGCTGGCGTTCTGTCAGTCTTAAGTAACATGAGATTGTGGCATGGAAAAATAACAAAGTCAGATTTTAGGGCACAACCTGGGCTGATGGTGAGGGCTTACTTGGCCTGAGGGCCTCTTTCTGCTTGATGGGGGCACTCTCTAAGCCAGCTTGGCCTAATGATATCAGGGTATATACGCCCGCAGCCCTTGGCCAGCACGGAGCTGGGCCAGCCTGCCAGTAACACACAGTCCACCTTGCAGCATCACTGGAATTCAGAAGAGGTGAGCCCGTCCAGAGGCTCTCGCCTCCCACCTGCTGCTCTGTCAGAATCTCTTACTCCTACTTTCAGGGCAAAGAATGTAATACTCCTGACAAGGGTTGTTCCAAAACTTCATTATTTTTATTTTATTCTGAGGTGAAAATGTATGCTGTTGTCTGTTCCCCCTTTTAGCCTCTCTGTCCAAAGGAGCTCTGGCACTTTGTCCACCAGTGTTATGGGAATGAGCTGGGTCTGACCAGTGATGATGAAGACTACGTGCCTCCTGATGATGACTTCAACACAATGGGGTGAGTGAGGAGGAGTACAATCTGCCTGTGATGAAGAAAAGATGGCCTCAGGAAAGCAGGAGTCCTGATACATTGCATACCTCTAACTGCTGACCGTCCCTGGTGAGAGATTCTGGGTTCTGGTCAGATGTTTGCCCTTAAAAGTGTAATGTCTAAAATGCGGAGAGCGTACCATTTCCTCATGGAAGTTGGTAGGGACTGAAATGCCTGCCTTTCTCCTTGCTGGGCTAGATGAGCAGTTCTGTACATGCCAAAGCATCTACAGGCCAGTCAGCATGTTGCATGGTCAGACAGTGCTGCATAGAAACACTTGAAAAGTTTGGGCTTGATCTTCCTTGCACTGAGCCATTTCTGCTTCCGGTCAGACTGGAAACTTCATAGAAGTATTCTTACTTGCTCTGTGTGTCCAGTTGTAGCTGTACTGAGAGGTGTAAACATAAAAACCTGTGTTCTCTGTGGCGTCTCAGCTACTGTGAAGAAATCCCTGTGGAAGAGAATGAAGTCAACGATAGCTCCTCAAAAAGCAGCATGGAGGCCAAGCCAGAAGCTAGCCCTCAGCTGCCAAAGAAATCTGTCACTGCCAGCACGTTGACATCTACGGGAAGCAGTGAAGCGCCAGCCTCGGTAAGTGTCCTTCCTCCGTGGCAGTGGGAGCAGTAATCCTTTTCTCTGGGATCCACCTGGTCGTCCCTGCATGTACGAGGTAACCGTTTACCCTGCAGCTCCTCTTCCACTGCAGCTGACCTCAGTCCTCGAGTCAGCGATATCTGTGAGCATGGGGTTTGGCCATGAAAAAATGAGCAAAGCGTGCCTGTCCTAAAAGCCAGCAAACCGGGACTCTCAGCAGCAAGTGCATTTTTCTTTCTATACTTTTAGATGAAAAGAAATGGAGTGTTGGAGATAAAAGTGTTATGATTTCTTTTCAGCCTTCAATTATTCCCTAGGAAACAGCGTGTGCCCTTGTAGTATTACAGCAGAGCACACCTTGTTTAGATATAACTTCAGATTTTCCTAGCTGTATGGGGCTTGTTTGGGAGCAAAACCAGTGTTGTTTGTGTGCTTTTCTGAGCAAAGATAAAGTCTCGGGTATGTGGTTCTTTGAGAGGAGGTGATTTAATATGTCCATGTGTGTTACCAACACTGTATGGTACCTTCCTCCTCTCTTTGTTATTTAATTTCCAGACATGTCAAGGTCAAATGTTCAAAAGTATGAAAATTGGCCTGTAGATGTAAAGTTTTCAGCAATAAACCCCAGTTTCCAGGTGCTGATCTTGCCTTCGTTATGCTCTCCTTGCTGCAGTTTGATGGAGTGCTACCAGAAGAGGAGGAGGCAGTGGTGGAGAGTCCTGTGGAAAAAGACATTGGCATTGCAAATATCATGGGAGAGAAGATAGAGATCATCAGCCCCGTGAACTCCCCTTCCCTAGACTTCAATGACAATGAAGACATTCCCACTGAGCTCAGTGACTCGTCAGAGACCCATGATGAAGGTATGCGGGGAAGGGCCATTCCACTGGTGGTGTTTTCAGCCTTCTCCCATCCTCTCCAGTGAGGGACTGGAGCGGCAAATACTGAATCCCTTTTCTGGACCCTAAGAGTTCAGAAGATGCAAAGAATTCCCATCCTGGGCCGCAGAAGGAAAATGCGTGGGGTATTTGGAAGGGTGTCCCTAAAATAATCTCTGTAGTTATTTACCCTTTCTGACATTCCAACTGTTGTCCTGGGATCAGAGGAGGAAAAGGGTTAGAAGTGCCTCCTTTGGGTTCCTTCTTCACAAAGTAAAATACTAAGGTCCTGGTACGGTGAAAGCACAGCCTCTGATGTTGGTGTGGGGGATCGTGGCTGAGGCTTGCAGGTCTGTTTCCTCTCAGGGGAAGTCCAAGCCTTTTACGAGGATCTGAACGGCCGTCAGTATGTGAATGAAGTGTTCAACTTCAGCGTGGACAAGCTGTATGACTTGCTTTTCACGGACTCCCAGTTCCAGAGGGACTTCATGGAGCAGCGCCGGTTCTCTGGTAAGCTGCTGGTGGCGGAGGCCGCGCTCCCTGCGAGGTAGAGCGGCCTGTCCCGAAAAAAGGTCTCAGTGCACGCTGTGGAGGTGCTTTGTCTGATGATAGAGGGTTTGGGTAATATTCTGAGCAGACCTTGGGACAGCTGTAGTCTGTACTGACACTAATGAAAAGCAGGCAGAGCCAGCCTTGGTTGGCTATCGAGTTTTATTTTCTAAGCGCTAGATCTAAGTTTGTGGAAGAAGCAGCCTCTTCTATTTTTTTAACATCGGCTAAGGCCTGATCCTGTGTTCAAGGCTTAACAGTGTGAGCAAAAAACTCCTCTAGCTCCATACCAGATATTGGCACGGACTCTGCAGTGTGTCCCTTGGCATTCTGTAGTCCTCCTTTTCCTGTAACTGTAGGTTTGCTGAAGAAGACACGTCCCCAGCCTCTCCACCTTTCCCTGCAATTGAAAGAGGGCAATAATATTCACAATTAGTACAGGAGATGTTTCTTTCACACTCAGTTGAGCTCTAGTGCTTCTGCAGGCAAGCTCTCCAAGGGGAAGGAAATGCTGTCCTGAGCATGGTTATAAGGTTATGCCTTTCCCTAGGAAACTGCCCCGAGATCCCTCTCCAATTACTTGAATGGAATATTGTTTTGTCCTCTCAGATATTATCTTCCATCCCTGGAAGAAGGAAGAAAATGGCAATCAGACCAGAGTGATCTTGTATACCATTACCCTCACCAACCCTCTGGCCCCCAAAACTGCCACTGTCACTGAGACGCAGGTATGTGCAAGGGGAGCAGGGGTGTAATGCTTTGTAGAAACAGATCTGTGATTTATTTTCTTGTCTTGGGCATGCTGCTTTGAATGTTTTCATTCTCCCTGCTCATTTTCCTTTACACATTTTTCTTGTATTAACTTGCTACCCAATATTGCTGCAAATGTGAATAGCTAATCTTACCCTCGCGCTGGACTGCATTGCAAGGAAAGGACCATAAATTATCCAGCAAAAGCAGATGAGTTTGTAAACAAGCCAGCACATTCTAACAATTGTGTTTGTGACCCAGACTGGCATTTTTTTGAGCTGCAGTCAGTCCAGCAGATGTTATTCATGAGCAGGGCACAAGAAAGTCAGATACTGTCTGGCCAGTTCCTTCTCACAGCTTTACACAGAGATATCCAGGCTTTTCTGTAACTGGTGAGGGGAGCATCTGCAACGCACTGGGAAGAGCTAGGCTGGCTGTATCTAGTAGGGGCTGCAGCTAGAGAGGGAGGAAAAGCCTCCTTCTGTCTCCAGAGATATGTCAAGTGGCCAAAGGTACATACTGAGCGCTAGCTTGAGGGAGTACGAAGAGGGAGCCAAGAAAAGATGGGTTGTCCGAGCATTACGTTTCAGGGAGAGGAGAATCTTAGCAGCAAGGCATAGCTTGTAGGGATGGGATGAATTGTGCTGTTCGGAAGCAGAGACCGTGTGCATTGAAGATAAAGAGCAGGAGAGCAAAGGGATGGACAAAAGGAACAATACACTTTCAGGCAAGCAAGGACGTGGCCTATTTTATTCTGAGCTTGGGGTCAGCCACCGAGGTGCACTTCGCTGTGTCCTCGCTGCAGAGGTAAGTGGAAATAGTCTGTAAGAAAAGCCAAACTTTTGCATATGCATCTGCAGTTAACTGTGACTGTCCCCTTTGTGAGGTTTGTTGTGGGGCAAAGGAAGAAGCAGATCAGAAGCGCTTAAAAGAAGTAGTTGATGTGTTTTTACAGTGTTTAGAATCACAGAATAATTTACACCAGAAAGGACCCCTGCTCAAAGCAGGACCACCTCTGATTTTAGATCAGGTTGCTCCCTGAGAGGCCAGACATGAGTTTAATGAGGAGAGGTAACACTGGCAAAGGTCCCGGAGTCCTCACATGGCAGTGTACGTATCTACGTCTCTGATTCAAAATGCTGGAGGTTGAGCTGCTGGAGCTGAATGTCCCTTTTGAAATGTGTCCTTGGGAAGCATCTGAGTGAAACACTTGGTTTCCTCGAGGATGCCTTCCCTGAAAGGTGAGCTGTTCACAGATAAATCGCAGGGGTGGGGCTTGGGTGCGGTCTCCTATTGGTGGCAGAGCTGTTTTTGTACAGTGCTGGTGAAGGTGCCGATCTATCAAAGCCATGTTCTAACCAGACTGACAGTTGCCTTGCGTGCTGTCTTTTATGCAGACAATGTACAAAGCCAGCCAGGAAAGCGAGTGCTATGTCATAGATGCAGAGGTGCTAACTCACGACGTCCCCTACCATGATTATTTCTACACCATTAACCGCTACACGTTGACTCGTGTTGCCAGAAACAAAAGCCGACTCAGGTACGCTTCTTGTGGGATCAAGAGCTTTACTGATGACCAGAAGTCATCTTTGGGTGGGAGTTCTGCTCTTGGGTGTGTTAGACGGGGGTGGGAGAACTAAGTCTTAGTTCTCTGTCCTGTTGCCAGAACACTCCTCTATCACCAAGAGTTGCCACAGGGGCAGCTGCCTGCTGTGGTGACATCGGGCAAACAATAGACCCGATGCAGAGGAATTACAGCTGCGTCAGGGAGAGGATTTACAGACTTTTCTTGCTCCCTTCTTGGGAGCTCTGGTTTCTACATGTGATAAGCAACAGGACATCCTTCCAGGGACCGTGTCTCTCAGATGTGCTCAGGGGAGCAAGCAGAGGAATTTGGTACCAGGCAAAGCAGTAGGCTTTTGTGTTTGACTCCAATAAGTAATCTAAATATCTTCCTGCCACATGGCTGAAGGTCACGGGAGACCTCTTGGGGAGGCTGTCTTGAGGCCTTCCTGACAAAGCCTTTGGAAGGGCTCTTCGTGCAATGCTTCTCCTCAAGAAGCACGAAGGGCTGAGACCGCTCCAGAATAACAGTGTGCATGACTATTTCTCCTATTTGTGTTGACATCACCCCCGGGAAGCAAAATCAGGAGAATGACTTTCCTTTTTTCACATAGGGTTTCCACAGAGCTACGTTACAGGAAACAGCCTTGGGGGCTGGTGAAATCCTTCATTGAGAAGAATTTTTGGAGCGGCCTCGAAGATTATTTCCGTCATTTGGGTAAGAATGGCAATGACTGGAGCTGCAGTAATGAGCCACGAACAGTGGCCCCATCCATAGTTTATCCCTGCCTCCCTGCAAGCGGGGAGCGTGGTACCTGCTGCCAGCCTACTGGGGATCAGACCTTGGAGCGGCTTAGGAAGGGGGCCAGCCAAAGTTATTACCACAGCATTGGTAGCACTTGCTGGAATTAATCAGCTCATGAAATGCCCAGCAGCTGTGCCATCAGAGGGCTTAACTCTCTCTCTCTCTGTGAGGCCAGTGCCGCTTCGATGAAACGCTTTCCCTTGCTGTCTTTGCAGAGAGTGAACTGACCAAAACCGAGAGCACGTACCTGGCTGAGGTCCACAGACAATCCCCCAAAGAGAAAGTGAGCAAGCAATCGACCGTGCGCCGGAGGAAACGGGCCCATGCCCATCTGCGGGTGCCACACTTGGAGGAGGTGCTGAGTCCCGTCACCACCCCCACGGATGAGGAGGTTGCACATCGAATCAAGCACGTGGCAGGTAAGGAGCTGCAGACGCCTCACGCTTGGGGACGGAGAGCTGGGTACCTCCGGAGAAGAAGTGGAGCCTTGCTTGCGGAAGGTTAATAGGAAGAGGGGCCAGGGCTTTCCAGGGCAGGGAGGATTTGTTCTGATTGAGTGAGACAGAGGGGTGGGTAGAGGAAGAAGGGTTGCCCTCCCCATCGGACAGCAGTTCCCAGCCTAAACACATGTGTTCCCTCAGGTTCCACTCAGACACGGCACGTCCCTGAGGAGAGCCCCAGCGGCTTCCACCTGCAGAGTGTCTCCAAGCTGCTCCTTGTCATCAGTTTTGTGTAAGTGATTTTTTTTTTTGCTCTCCTTCACAGGCAGACTTTAACAACTTCAGTCCTTCCATGTTTCTGGTGTTCTGCGCTCCCCTGTGCCAGCTCTTCCTCTCTCATACTCCTCTCTGGCCCCAAACTTGGCACAGCACAGAGGAGAGATATTTCTGCAAAGAAAGGGTGGAAACATGTGAAGCAAGAGCGATTGGCATGATTTCAGTAGCCCAGCAGCAAGAACTGCGTTTGGTTTCGGTCCCTTTCCTGCCAGCACCTTTCACAGTCTTGGACTTGGCTGGATGTGCACTCAGTGGGCTGGGTATGGGCCGCTCCTGTCCCTGGGGCTCAGGCTTTATGCCTAAACCCAGGTGTATTTACTGTTTCGTCGCCTCTTGGGCTGGCGGTAGCTTTCATGTGTTCGTGCTGCAGCGGCTGGTGGGCAGGTGCTGTGAAGCGGTGCAGTCTGAAGGAGCAATCCAGGCAGGGCAGGTTTTTTAATCACTTGTGGAAACGAAGCATCCTGTTAATCCCGGAGGAGGAGCAGAATTTGGGCTCGCTCTTTTTTTAAGTTCCACCCACCTTTTAGTGAGGTGGGAAGAAGCTGATTTATCAACTGAGGTTACTTTTCAAATTGAGCTCCTTTCTGCATTTCCTTTTCCCACTGGGGATAAACACTGCAGAGGTCTGCAGCAGCAACCCAGCTAGTTGCTGTAATGGTAAGTAAGGTAATATAAAGTAACGTAATGATGAGAAGATAGCCTTGTGCTGCTTCTCTGTCTAGATGGGTGAGATGCAATTAAGGCTTTGGGTAGGAAGGCACAAAAGCTTTACGACTATCTCTCCTGACAGGCTACTAGCTTAGCTTAGCGCGGTCAGAGCGCCCTCCGTAATGTTTTCAGAATACTCTTCTGGCCACTTGCCATCCTCCTGACTGAACTGGGTGATAGTGGGCCATTCTTCCAGCAAAATAGCTGCACTATTCAGAGACAGGCACGAGCATGTTATTTTGGAATCCCTTCCCTGAGCATGGCTGACCGGAGGAGCGCAAATGCCCACGCGTGGTGGGGAGGGACGAGAGGGAGCGGTACAGGGCCTGGTGAAAGTGCTGGCCCCAGCGCCGGGCGCGGCAGGAGGGGTAAGGCTGGAGGGGTGCAGGCAGCAACATGCAGTTCTGTGTCAGACTGTGCCCTGCACGGGCCTGCTCGGGGCTTGGCCGCAGGAGCCGCACACAGCTCGTGTTTTGCCAATAGTTGCAGGCGCACGGTTAGCTGTCTGTCTTTCTTGCCTCTCTTCCCACTGTGCCCTTCTTCCCCCCTCCCCCTGCATCTATCTTCTGCATCGCCTGTGAGCCTTCTCAGCTCAGCACAGTTTCTCCTGTTCTGTGTTAGTCCGTTTCTAACCTGCAGCTACTCCGTCTTTTCTCTTCCCTGCTCCCATTAGGATCTGTTTCAGGTACTGTCTGGCTCTTTTTTTACCTCTTTACGCTCCCCTTCCCTTTCTCTGCATTCAGCACATTCCCTCATCTAACCTGTTCTGTCTGATCTGTCACTCCTGTCTTTCTCTCTGTTTGTCCTCCTCACTCGCACATTCCTCCCATGAGGTGAAGTTTTGGGTTCTGATCACCTGGCCCTTACTCAGATTAAATTTCCACTCACATACAGCGTGGACCTGGGCCCCAGACACCTTCTTTAAAGCCTTGGGTGTTTTCCCAGGTGCTAGGAAGTGCTCCCAGTGAACCAACCGTTTTCTTTATTTCCAGTCTGGTGCTGCTGGTCATTCTCAATATGATGCTGTTCTACAAACTCTGGATGTTGGAATATACAACGCAGACGCTCACGGCATGGCAGGGTTTGCGGCTACAGGAGAGGTACTGTCACAGCTGCTTTGTCTTTGCCTCTTCTTGCATGATCCCTATGGATGTTGGAGGCTTTCCCAAAATGCCAAAGCTTAGGGCTGTCTTGCAGATCTCTTCATTTTTGTGTAAAACAGATGAAGCAGGTAGGTAGCTGTGGGGCCATCAGCATTTCCAGATCTGACACTGCTGAACAGCAGCTGCAGCAGAAAACAGTGAGTCAAGGCAACCCCTGCTTCTTCCCAGCACCCCGTGTAACAGAGGATGCTCTACGAATACATGTTTTGCAATCTTGGGCCAAGGTTGTTACCTCCCCTCTTTTGATGGCTAAACTTCCCTCTGCATGAAAAGCAGTGTCTTAGAAAGGAACCCTTTGTACTCAGAGGAGAATTTGGGCCTGTGAAACGCAATCAACTGTTAGGTAAGTGTTTTGGAAGGTGTGAGTCCAGATCTCAGCAAGCTGTTAAAGCGTGGGAGGCAGAGACACATCACTAGGAGGACACAGGGTGTTTCTTACTGACCTAAGTGGTCCTTGGCAGTGCAGTGTCATTGCAGATTGACTCGGTTTCTTTAATAATCGGTAGTGTGGAACCGTGTCCAAGGCTTTTTGGACACCTTATTTCAGTACAGTGTCCACCTGGTGTGTGCGGAGAGGTGTAGAGCTCCAGGCTGCATGGCAGCACTCCCCCCTTTCCTTCAGCAGAAAGCGTGCCGACAGCCTGCGACCAGAGTGAATTTATCGTTGGGACCAGTCTTTAGTATACAGACTGGCTCCCCCGTTTTGTCTAGGGTCAGAGCTGGACCTGCCACTCTCCAGTTCCTGGGATGAACTCCAAAGCACCTTTTTGATGGCATTTACAGGGGTGACCTGATGTTCCGTAGTTATTTTTTTATGACAGCCAGCAATTTTATGTTTTGAATTCCTTCTGGCATTTTTAGGTGAATGCTTTTTTTTAAAATATATATATATATTAAAAAAAGTGGTGAATGCCTTATATATATATTTATATATATATAAAAATAAGTGCTAGGTATCATGCCTGAAGTAGTCTCTCCTCTACTTCCAGAGGTTAAGAACATGTCAAGTCCACTTTGCTAAGGTGTTTTTGCCCCTTTTCTGGCTGTAGCTTTGCGTAGTCACAGTTGCTCCCTTGCTAAATGGGGTTTGACTTCAAGCAGCCCGAGCCATGTGCTAGTGTTGTGATGACTTTTTTGCATTATTTGTCTCATGTTTTAGGGCCTTTCTCCTCAGTAGGGAAGGGAATTATTATTTTCTCCGTAATAGCCCAGCTACTTTCCCATGGATAGATACATTAAGTGATTTTGCCTGCTTCAGCTTTCTCTGGCACCCTGGGTATTTATTTGGACCACTGCAATATAGTATTTATGTATAAGACTGGCATAGGCTATTTATATGCTTCTTGTAATGTGCATGTAGTACTGGAATTATAGGGGTGGCTCAATTCCCCCCCTCCCCTGCACAGGTAACTCCATTGTGTTGCAGCCGTGCTTGCTGTAGAAGTGGACTGAACCCATCAGCTGGGGCAAAGGCCGGGTGTGCTCAGAAACATTCAGTTTGAGGCTCTCAATACATTTTTTTCCATAACTGGTTCTACTGAGACTTCAGTTCTCTGTGGGCAGGGGCAGTCAGCAGTCCCCCAAGCTAAGTGTACCAGTCTTAAATAGCAGCCTCTCCACTCAGACAGGGAAAGCAGTTTTTATTGTTACCAGAGTGTTACTTATTAGAGACCAGGATTATCGAGCATGAAGAGTGGGTCCATTTTTTGACTTGTGTTGTTTTTTTTATTGTCATGCTTGGTTAACATCCCTGTGTTTTATCTCCAGGTCTGGAGCCAGCTGAGCAGGGCAGATGCAAGCATCCAAGGCGCTGGTGGGAGGATCACAGGCACTCGGGCCTGTGCCAGGGGTGAGCCTGGCGAGGAGGGCGAGCTTGGCTGGGCCAAAACCAGGATAAATCTCAGTTGAGGAGCAGAGTCAAGGCAGGGGTGTGGCAGCAGCAGCCCAATCTGCCAGTTTGCTAAGGTAGGAGGGGAACAAGTTGGACTATTAGGAGAAAGGAGGAACTTACCCAAGAAGTGAGTTCTAGCTGCAGAGGAGCTCTCGCTAACGCGGGGTCTTCCATAAAGGCTTTGAAAGTCTTCAGGGTAGCCTGAGAGGAGGGATTCAGCTACGTTAGAAAGTAACAAAGCCCGGAGAGGTAAGCAGCAGAGGAAGCAGGAAAGGCTTCTGGCTATGTTAGAAAGCAGCATGACTTAGCTATCTTTTCTGGGGGCATGCAAAAGTGGAGCCATACCTCTCAGGAGAGGTGGGCAGAGCGGAGTGCTGCTGCTGCTGCGGTGCCTTCCTGCTGACGCCAACTGCCCTGACTGCTCCTAGCCGCTGCGCTCGACGGAGATCGATCCTGGCCTTGGCGCAGCCAGAGCTCCCCCTCCTCGCCAGGCTCAGCGCTGGCACGTGCCGAGGCCCTGAGCGGCTCCTCCCAGCACCGCCCGCCTCTGCCCCGCGCAGCAGCCTCCAGCCCTGCTCTGGAGGATTCATCGGGCCTGAAACCTACGCTTACCTGCCATTAAAAAGAGAGCCAGTGCTGCTATTGCTCCTCATAAAGAGAAAGCCTTGTATTAGATAAAGACTGGCACAGCATGTCTAGAAGAAACAAACCAAACTGGACGGGGCTACCTGTCCCATGTTGCGCTGCATTGTTCCCTGTCCTCGGCCACCGTGCCCTCTGCCAGCATCCACGTCTCCCAGGCACTGAGAGCACGCTGCCTTCGGTTCCACCCACACTACAACTTCTGCAAAAGACACAGCTTTCTTTGCTATTGCTTACTTAACTACCACAGTTAAGTCAGAGTTGTGTTAGTATCCAGTTTGGGAAGATACTAAGCATTTGTGTAACGTGTACGTGCACTTGTGCTCAAGAAAACCCGCCCCTTTAGGGTGAAAAGATTAGACAGAAACTGGCACAATGTACACCTTCCCCCCGTCCGCTTTGGTCCCCCTTGACTTCAGTTCCCCAAGATTCACTCTTGCTCATATTCTGCCTGACAGGTTGCCCCAGTCTCAGACAGAGTGGGCCCAGTTACTAGAATCTCAGCAGAAGTATCATGACTCGGAGCTCCAAAAATGGCGTGAGATCATCAAATCCTCAGTGATGCTTCTAGACCAGGTGAGACCGCGCGGCCGGTCAGCGCTGTGACTAGAGGGTCACCACGTCCTTCCAGCCACCCGCCCGCAATCCTTCAGCCTTACCTGGTTCCACCGTGGCCCGTCAGGCACCTCACCCCCGCTACCGTCTCCCTTTAGATCGATCTTCTGACGGAGTGGTGGGCAGCAGGGCCCAAGGGCTATTTGCGGGATACGGCAGCTTCTCTGTCACCTCACGGGTCCACACGCAGCAAGGAGAGAATTCTGCAGGGCCAAAAACCTTATATTAACCCATCTTGTATCTAGTTTCTGGCCATCCCAGTTTGGAAAGCAAACTTTTTTTACCTCAACCTTGGATTCATACAGAGAGCTTGGAGGGATGAAGGGGGCACGCTCTGCGTGGGCCATTAATAGCACCAAGCCAGGGGTTTTGGTACCTGCTGCCTAAAGAGCCGGTTGTACACGAAGCTGCTTAGAGGTCCAAAACGAAAGCCGCCCTCTCCTCCGCAGAGAGCTGCTCGCCCCATACCTCATTCTGCTCGCCCCTTCTCCGTTATCTTGGAGAATGGTCTCTCAGGGACTCCCATCTTCTCAGTCCCCATTTGTACGCCTCCGCCCTGACACGCCTCTCCCCAAAGCTGAGTAGGGTGCCAATACTTTACATGGAAGGAGGAGGCACTAATGGGGAAGGAAATCCTGAATTGCTCTGCCTCTTGGGTGGAATCACAGTGGAGAAATTTCTTGTCTTGCAGATGAAGGATTCACTAATAAATCTTCAGAATGGCATCGGGTCCCGGGACTTCGGGTCAGATCCAGAGGAGAAACGGAAACGTTTCCACTAACAGGCAGGAATGCAGGAGGCCAGAGGACGGTGTGCAATATGTGTAAATAGGATATATAAATATATATATATATAAATATATATATATATACAGAATATAAATATATATATTATATACAGATTTTAAGAGAAAAAAAAGCCTATGTATCGAGAGGAAGGATTGACCTCCAACACTGGCTGACATGGAGCGTCTCGGTGGTAGCGTGGGGTGTGTGTGTGTGTGGAGGGCTGTGCTCTCCTGGCACTGAGGTGCGCTTAGGGGTGTGCCCCAGTGTGCTCCCCTGGGCCTGTGCACCACTCTTCTGTAATATTCCTGTCTGTCTGTCTGTCTGTTTTGTTTTTGTTGTTTCAAAGGGAAGCATCAGAGTGAGTGCCCCCCCCGCCCCTCCCTGCGCATGAAGGTCTCTGATTGAGTCTATTTATCTGTACATACAAAGGGGACACTGTCACCTCTCTTACCTTGCTGGCTTCAGGGCAGAGAGGTTTTGGCAATCGCCGTCAATCCCTTACAGAACTAAATGGCATTTGGAGAGGAGGCTTCTGGAGGATACTGCTGTAGGTCTGTAGAGAGCAGATCTCGCTGGCGTTCACCTTCTGTACTTCCTGGAGCAGAAATACAATTTGCTGTCATGCCGGCCAGCCTGGTTCAGAGAGCAAAGCACAGAATGTAAATGAGCCGAAATGCTTTCTATGCAAACACTAGTTTGCCGCCTCCTGTTATTGATACTGCATGAATGGCCAAGGAGATGGTGGGGAGGGGAGTATCTGCCTACGAGGTGCGTGGGTGGAAGAGAGCCACACCGCGGCAAGTACACTTCTGGTCCCTTTGACAGTGTCCCCTTTGCCGTTTCTGTTGTTCTCTGCTTTCTTTGTGCTTGGGCCCCTGCCATTAAGCCATCCCTGTGCTGAAGATCCACATTGGTGCTGAAAGGGCAACTACCTGTGCAGCTTCCCATGCTAGGGGGAGTACCCCAACTTAAAACCAAACTTAGTATTTATTTGCAACTGCTACCCTGCTCAGCAAATGTCCCTCCTGCCCCTGGTCTGCGGGACCGTTTTGCTTGTACCACCTAGCCCGTACCTTGTCTCACAGACTACGGAAAATGTCAGGGAGAAAAAGAACAATTTCCTTTCCTTCACTGTGGGTATTTACATGACCGCATCTATAGAGCAACAAGGCCTCCAGAAGAGGTTAGGGGAAGGGTCATGGGGACCAAAGAAGAGAAAGAAAACAAAACAGGGACTGTCAGTGGGTGGCAGGATAGATCTGGAGGGGTATCCACAGTGCGAGGCATCTGACTGGTATCTCTCATAAGCTGGATAGCGAAGCATTTGCTCTATAAGCAAGTCAGGTGGTGGAGCTGCATTAAAAAGACAATATGCATTTTTACTTGGTCTGGGGAATCATTCCAGACTCCCATTAGCAGCCAAATGAGGAAGAAGGGCAGCAAGGCTGCGCTGCGTGGTGTACCAAACGCCACTGTGCCCAGTTGGGATGCTTGTTTGAATGTTTAATAAATGCTTTCTCATCTTACCCAGCGAGGTAGGTTAGGTGATATGTGACGCCCTCAATCTCCACCTTGTTCAACACCGGGATTTTTCCACCTTCTGAATGGCAGGAGGGAGGCAGCTGCCTATTCCCCTTATGCAAAGGGTGCAGTTCTCACTCGTCCATCGTCTCTAGCTCCGATGGACACTGAAAGAGCAGGGGATGTAAGGGTGAGTAACTGCTCTTCGCATCTCTGTACCAGAAACTCTCATCTGCACAGCTGGGTGACAAAGTGGAGTCTAAGGAAAACCCTCACACGCTCCCACTTGTGCATTCCTATCAGGGAAAGGTAACGTATGTACAAGTAACCTGCTGCTTTCTCCCAACCTGCCTACAATTTTGATGACCAAGTGCTGAACACAACATGCCCTGCAGAAGATGACTCACACTGGAAGGAGCGTGGATGAAGATGGGATATCAAAAAGACATTTAAGAGTGTGAGAGCAAGGTACAATTGAGAAAAACATGCCTCGGCACCTAGAGAGTAATATGTATTTAGGACTATTTATTTAATTTAATGCTGCTGACTACTGTACTGCTCCCTGACCTTTTTCCAGGGAGGCTGCTGAAATGGCTACTGTACAATGAAACTGAGGTGCTAGTACCCGGGACGGGCATTCTGTGGCTCATCTTGGGACAGGAGGGCCCCAACTCCCCGCTGTGACTTGAGTCCTGTTTCCCCATGAGTCCCTCCCACACTTATTAAGCACAGAAAAATCCCCTGCTGCCCATCTTCCACTTTTCTAGAATTTACTTCCAAGCACCGAGAAAGAAGACAGAGAAGAATTCCTGTGCTTGCCACCTTGCCCAGGCCAGAAAAGAAAAAGGCCCCATTTTGAGAGAGAAACCTGACTATGGGGTCTCTGCCACCTGGCTGGGAGGGTTTTGTACATAGACACAACCCACCGAGAGGCAGAGAAACCCGTCTGTCTGAGAGGGCTGAAAATAAATGCTAGTGATCAGAGTTGTTTTCTTACCAATTTCACGTTCTCTTGCTAGTTACGGAGGACAGAAATCCATTCGCTCATCCGTGCGTCCTTCTTCCTCTGCAGCATTCTTCCAGAGTGCCATCCCAGTAGGTTCAGGGTGTTCCCCCTAACACGGCTTCCTCAGGCTTGGCCCTAGAGACAGAATTGCACAAGCTCCATTAAATTACTGCAAGGCCCCGCAGAAGCAGCTGTAACAGTCTGAAGCACTAGTATTTATTCTGCCCACCCACTACGTTAAACGGGGTTTATCGTGTTTGATGTATCCTGATCAGAGCTACACTAAATCCTTCAGTACAGAACATAAGGGTGGTGGTTGCCAAACAGAACCTTGCACGTGCAGTGCCCTTCAGACCAAGGAAGGTTTCTCTTTGAGGCCTTAAGTTTCTTTGTCCCTGATTCCTAGTTACTTTCTTTTTGCCACTTGGCAGCAAGTCTGGCTTGGAGTTGGAGAGGAAACATGATCTTTATTGCCTCTTAATTTATCACAGTAGTGATAAAAGAAAAAAGCAAGGTCTTTTCCTTAAGGCAAAACCCACAATGGCACTAAAGGTGAGGGCTTAAAACAAAACTTCAGCATGTTTTCATCTAGATGCCTTCCTCTAGAGAACTGTGACAGAAGTCACCTGCTACTGCAGTTGAGTCCCAAGTGACAGATTAATTCCTTTTGTAAGCCATAGCCAATTTTAGACCCATCAGTTTATATTTCCTGGAGAAATTAGTAACACTTTCAAGGAGCAAGGCCAGGCAACTCCAATAATGTTCCAGGGGGTGGTCCTTTGCCTTCCCTAAGCAGTCATAGCTTGGCTTCCATTGTCAGGGTTTCACTGCTCTACTCACTTGCCTTGCTTACCTGCACCAGAAATCCCACATCAGTGGTAGTTTTCTTCGTAGTGCCTCACAGACGCGTTGCCCCGCCGAGTCCTCCCTCTGACCCTCCTGCCGCTGCGAGGCTGCCAGGTGAGCGCAGCTGGGGTCTGATTTGCAGAGTCTGAACAACTGTGAAAGAGGTACTTTTGGAAAAAAAAAAAAGCATTTCTCCAGCCAAATGTGCAAACTAATGCCAGCAGCTTGTAGCCTAATTCTTGCCAAGAAAGATGCTGCCTAGTGGGAGGAGGGAGAAGAAGGGACAAGAAGGGACGGAAGGCTCTCGTGTGCCAGTTTGTGTATCTGTCACCTGTTTATATGGGACAAAAATATGCTGGCTAATCCTAGCTTGATACAATCCCACATCTGATCAATACACGTCTTCTAATGCTCACCTTAAAAGAGGACTTTGGGTTATGGCACCTGGGACAAACTCAAAGTGAATTTGAGACCTGGATAACTGCTATGCAATCGTGAATTCATAAAGTAGATACCAAATGTATCTAGGGCAGCACCTGTGCATTAAGTCTAGGAAGGACCAAATGACACAGATTATTCCAGGTGGTAAAATCAGAAGCACATGGCCAAGACAGAGGCATTTGCTGGGTCTGCACATTCCACTTAAAAGAAAGGTACCTGCAATGGTAAGAATAAGAGTTAGCTATGAATTAACTGGATAATCGTGCTTTTTGGGTGCTCAGCAATTAACTGATGATCCAAGGCACGCTTCAGTCAGAAAAGTTTGATATGGGTTGATATTAACTGCTACTAACTTCTGCATAAATCCTTTCTGGCTCCCCTAAGTCCTTTGGGCGAAAAAAAAAAAAAAAAAGTCACACAACTTTGATCTCCCCTAACATACCTCAGTTATGCTGCTAACATCGAGTACGCATTTACACCCAGCTTAGAGGCTGCCGTACCAGTCTGGGGCAGCAGTCTGCCCTCCGACCACCTGGCCCCACTTGTCTGCTTTAGAGCTAAGAAAGGGAAACCAAAGGGATACACAACATGCGTTTGTTACAAATATGACCCCCTACTGAAAGAGGCAAGGTTTCAAGGCACGATGCTTTGCTGGATTCAAAGCCATGACCAAAACCCGCCTCTGAAATAATGATGCCTGCATTGCCCTGTCCCTTCTCAGAAAGCTTGGCCTGCTCAGCCTGTGTTCGTACCACACAGAGCCCCTTTGTTTCAGCAGCTCACCTGGGGGTAGCTGGGGACAGACTCTGTAGCCCACTTGTCTCCTCAGCACTAAACCATGTAGCCTACAGGTCTGCTTTTTCCTGCCTTTATACAAGAAGGTAGAAATTTGTTTTCCAAATAGCGGCTGGAGACTCTTTAGGTCAGGGTACTTGAAATGAGACGTGTTGGATACGCTATACAGTCATTTCTGCGCACATACACCTGCGATACACCAAAGCCCAGTGAAAGACACACTTGCAAATGTCACGCTTTGGCTTTCCACCTCAGAAGTGTTAACCAGAGGGGTGTGCATACCGGCGGGTTTTGGTGAATACAGCATTTGTGTGTCACGTGGCCTTAATCCCTCTCCCTTTCCTGGTGGCTTTGCCTTCTCAGACGTGTACTTCCATCATCTTCCAGTGATCCTAAGGCACCTAAATAGAGGAGATGGACAGAGAGGGCAGCCTGCAGCTTTCACAGCATCCAGCACTAAGACACAGCGGTGGAGATGATGATTATCTATCTCCAACCCTAAAAAGACCAGCACTGCTCACGCGGCATGAGCTGTAAAATAGAGGTTAGTGGCAGAGGTTTCGGGGGAGTGAATTGCTCCTGGTTAGTTGGAGGGGTCTTTCTGTGCTACTGGGAGTGGGAAAACGTTTGGGCCTCCCCTTCCCCTCGGGTTCATTTACATGAGCGCAGTTAGCATAAAGCCAGCACGTGGGTTGATGTCTGTGGAAGAGCAGTCTGTGCAGGCTGGTACGCAGGCTCTGTAGCAGCAGAGGCTCTGTCCACAGCGGGGCTCGGTCAGAGCGTGTGGCAGAGCTCTCCAGTACGCCTCTGCCCTCCGTGCGGAGCTGCCACGCTCCCGAGGGCACTTCTCCACGGAACGTCCTCCCAGCCTTGCCGTGATGTGTACCGAGCCAGCCCTTCCAGCCAGGTAGCGCCTGCTCTTCCCAAGGGGGATGGGAACGAACCGCTTCCCAAGTTAGAGGCGGAACTTTCTGGTTCCGCAGGGTAGGGAAAAGCCCAGACAATTACAAACGCTTGTAAAGCACGAGTGCCTGGCTCGGGGGAGGCAAGGACTGTCAAGGCAGCCGCTGACGCCCCACAGCTCTTGGCAGACCTGTGCTTTCTGTGCTACCTGCTGAACGCCACAGAGCTCTTTCCGACAGGATCTCTGCCAGGCTTGCTGCCACTGATGGGTTTCGTGGTGCAGTCGTGTAGACTCTGGCTTAGTCTTTCCAGCCTGGGCCCTAGTTAAAATATCTGGCAGGGGCTCGCTTAAAACAATACTGGAGATAGAGACTCTCAGACCAAAGCACCCGAGGTGAGTGGCTCACAGAACATTTGTGTCAGTGTAGATTCCGAGACGCGACTGTGCTGACTTTCTGGCCCGTTCCCCCTGCCCGGCATGCTCTGAGCTCTCTACGCTTCGCAGTCTCCACAGCACGTGTCTCTCTGTGCCATAATACAGTTCTTCTTCTAGATGTGCACACTGGCCAAATAATCTCCTCATGTCTTGATCGACTGCCGATTGAGATTATTTCCCGATCTAGCCAGACAGCATGGGCTTAACTCGTAGCATGGATGCGTGGCGTGCCATGCCCTCCTCTCCCCCCCCACGTTTTGCAGTGCTTGCTGTGGCTTTTCCCTCTCCCCTCACACCTTTGCTGCCGGACAATCATTCCCCATGTCGTAGACGGACTGACCCGGTGCTGTCCCTGCTTGCCTTTCCTTGCCGCAGTCTGTATGCTCTTCAAGTGAATGTGTTTTATTTTTTTTCAATAGGGAAAAGGACTTCCTTCTGCTGAAGGAATTATATTTGCACATGGCTCAGGGAGGTACCTCCTCTGGCCGTTTCCGTTACCTCACTCATTTAGGCCAATTCCATTGCTAACGTTAAATGGCCACCTTCCCCAATCCAACCCCCCGAGAGAAGTTAGGGAATAAAACCAATGTGCAGCTCAGGTTCTAGAGCCATTCGGTCGTGTCTCAGTTTCGGCCCAATCTGCCCCCGCGGCGTTAGGATTGTTACCAAACAGCAGCTTTATCCGGCAAAGAGCCGGAGCCTGGGCCAGGCGCGCGCCCTTCCCCGTCTTCGCCAGCCCACCTCCCTTGTAGTAGCACTTAACAGAGCAGATACAAAAGCACTAACCTGGCTCTTGGCCCGATGGGGTCAGGGCGGAGGGCGAAGCAGCAAAACCGTTGCAGCGTTACCACCACCCGGGACTGTCTTTGTGTGGCTGTGGCACCTCTGGGGCGTCCCCATCCTCGCGGCGGTTCATCTCCCATCACCTGCTCCGGGGCTGGACAAAGCTGCTCAAAACCCCGAGGCCCGGGATCCTGCAAGCCCCCTGGGCTGTGCGTACACCGCAAACTGATGGGGATCGCCTCAGGCCGGCGAGGGCTGGGAGTGGGTTGTACAGCCACCCGTGGGTGTGTGTTTCCCTTCTGGATTTCACCACCAGAGCCCGTGGAACTATAGGGTGGGGTGGGGGAGGAACTGTGGTTTTGTTTTAGGAGTTGTCTAACTGTCACAAACTTTGCGCTGTGCGCAAAATGCGGTAAAATGATAATGAAACTTACCTGCTAGAACCTAGGAATTGTAAAGGCTATGCAGCCAAAACTTAATGTAAAGTAGTTAGTACAATGGAAGTACGGTATAAATTAAAAAAAAAAAAAAAATCTATCAAACAAACAGCGTGATTCGTGAGTGCTTTGTTCTTTTTATTATCCTGCCTATTCTAAAGTCTCTTCTGTAATTTCCAAATACAGAGAGAGTATTTGCAGAGACCAACCAGGACCATCTCTCCAGAACACTGCCTGCCTTTAACACCACCCTTGAAAAATCCCCAATTTTTAATTTTTTTTTTTTTGCTATGAGAATCTTCAGCAAAATTTACACACCATTTTCTCCTGCCTAGAAAAACACAGGGCAATAGTCGTATCTGTCTGCAGGAACCAGAAGAGTGAAAATACGTCCAAAGAAAAGCATCTTAAGATGATGCACGTAAGATACCGGAAGGTGCAGGACTAGAGGACAGCCCCTCTTTACCACCTGAGGTAGCTCTCAAGAAGTTCTTAGTTTACTCCTTTTTTGACTTAACATTGTGACACCAGACGGGGTCCGAAGAGCAGAGCTGAAGTGGGAGAGAGGTTACGTGACCTTACCTAAAAATCACCAGGGGCAGCAATGCAGTGGTCAGTGACGGAAACTCTGGAGTTACAATCGAGTCCCTCCTCTGGTGCTGCGGGTTTAGAGTTAGGATTATGCCCCAAATTGCCCCGAGGTCAGGCAAACTGGTTTAGGGAAAGTGAAGACATCCAGCTGAATCTTTCCTCTTTTAGGTTTTAAGGAACCAGTGCCCAGACTACAAGCGTGCTTCATCTGGAAAATGCGCTCAAGCTGCCAGACTGGGCTCTGGCCTTGAGAGCGATCCTACTGTGAAGACTGACTGCAGTGTGGTCGTTTCCTAAAGTTGACACCCACTCTAACAAAAGGAGTTTTGAACAACTGCCAGTTAGAAATCTGGCCTGGGCCTGACTTACAAATGGAGTAATTTCTGTGATTTTAGCAACACATAAAAAGCAGCAGAACAAAGCAGAGGAAATTCCACAGGTGGAAAGCATGCCTTGATTCACAAGCACTTTGTAACTATTTAGAAGCGGTCAGGGTAGCAAAATTTGTCAACTCTTGCAAGCAGCATAGGCTCCATTGCAGCAGGGATGTAACAACATCTGCTATATGAAAAAAAACAAACCTTCCCCTATTCTGTCTTAAGGTACAATTCCACCCTGGCCGATGTTTCTGCCCCTTTTTTTTTTTTTTTTCCTCCTTGTAATCCTAGTTGTTGAACAAAACTGATCTGTATTTGAAACCAGAGGACAAGTTTTGCTGTTTGATCCACTACAATTGAAAAGGTAAGTTTGCATGGGAAACACTGAAATTACAGCGTGATTCCTGTGCAGCAGTGGATGATTTAAGATGAATACTGACTATTCAAGCCAGTGACTAATTATCACAAGAAAGAATTACGAATAACTAGGAAAAAATAAGCGTTTTCTGCCTATTCCTCTAGGTGGTGCTACACTATATAGTACGAGAAGACTAGCACAGAAAAAGCACTACCGTTTTACAAAGCTGTCCATCCTTTTCCTGGGAGGGCTGTGCATCCTATTTACTTTGCTTGCCTACTTGCATCGAGCTGTTTTCCTTTCGGGAAACCTCATCCTACTGGCTTGCCTGTTGTTGCAGAACACTGCTCCATGGGTCATTCTTATCACTGCACCTCTGCGTACTTGAGGAGTAAACCTGCTGTGCAAGGCAAATGGAAGGAACTAAGAATTTTGACACTTGCTCAGTGAAAGGGGGGGAGGTACAGGGGATTCTTATACTTACATCATACTGCCTCCCGAAGCAGGAGTACTTCAGGATCTGTACTCCCGGCTCCCTCCTTCAGAAGCAAGTGTGAACATGGCACATCCTTCCTACTACACATTTTCAACAGTCCCCATGCATTCCAGTCCTCATCCTACTCTGCCTGTACACAGGCATCCCAAAGACTCGCGACTTACTGAGCAACAACTAATTAATTAAATTCTTCCTGTTTAAACATCAACAAGACTGCTTGGGCTGAAACGTATTGTGGAACATCACCTTTAGATGACCTCATTCCCAGTCCTGCAGGTCAGAGTAATAGAACATACATACCCTTGACCTCTGCAATGGAGAACTAGCATATTTAGCAAATCAAGGTGGTGGTGACAGCAGCTAAGAAATGACACTTAACATTTACGAAGCCATTAACGTGATGATGGGGCTGGAACTTGGGAAGGAGCCGTGCTGCCCACACCCGTGTGCCCTTTGCTCAGCATGCTTCAAAAGAAGAGTCCTTTAGCAAATGGGCCGGCAGCTCAGAATGGAGTCATGAGGCCAAAGTCAAGGCTGTACAGGGTCCAAGGCAAATGGAAGAGAATTTACACTTCCCCGTATTTCCTCCCGACGGCGCAGAGCTCCCCTCAAACCTGGCTGGCATGACACGGTCCTTCTGTCTTCAGAGCCCCTGCAATCAAGAGAATTCCTCTTGGAGCGCGAGTCGTTTGACCTTACCGAAGTGAGGATCGTGACACAGTCGGCACGAAAACTGACAGGATGTGAACGACACTACAAAAGATCTAAAGTTCGGTCTTTTGCACACAAAAATCCTTCCTTGCAGCTGCTTCCTGGGGAGATAGTGCCCTTATATTCCTCCTGATCACAGCTCCCCACTGCAGGGGACAGTGACGATTCCCAACTCCACAGGAATGGGCAAAAGAGGCGTAATTACAGCATGGCCTGAAAGTGAACACGTGTGTTGGCTAGGGGTTTCGAGTGATGTTAGTAGACCCAGCACCTAAGGATACCTATATTGCTTCTAAGGTCACTGAGCACAGCCACACTGCAGGAGTCTGCCGTCCGCCTTGTCTCCAGCCCCACGCACACCTAACCCACTGTCGCAAGGCTGAAAGGTTGGCAGACACAAGCAGCGACTGTTTCCTCGTCGCCTACCTTGGTGCCGTTCGTTCCGCTGACTCCTCTCTGCTATTCCTCCACAGGCACGGCACAGTTTTCCTTGTTTTCTGATGGAATCGCAAGATAGTCTGTCCTATAGTTGGAGGGAAGGAGGAAAGCATAACCTCAGGTGCTACAGTGCAAAAACCAGCTTGGGTCCATTCACCCTTACAGAGATATGGAATGCCTGTAAGTATCTCTAAGGTAACAAATGTCACCTCTAGAAGATGCTCGCAGCAGGAAACTCTCCTCAGTCTACTCAGGAGCAGACACTGAGCCTTGCCTACTGTAAAATCCTAACAGCCTTCCTACCATGTAGAAAGAGCACCCTTAGCCAAGCCAAGTGTGTAGAAAGATGAGAATGGGCCAGAATAAAAAAAAAACGGAAGGTCTCTGCTGCGTCAGCTGCACCTGTGAGTCAGATCTCTGAACCAGGCCTTTGAGGAGAGCAGCCCCGTGCAGTTCCAACCGGGCCGCTTTGGAACGCCGTGCGCTGGGGCCACACTCCCCGCCTGGTGCACTGCGCTGCCTCTTTTGGGACTCCTGAACACTGCAAGGGTTTCAGACACGGCAAACGCCAGCTAGAAATGTGCAATAGCAAAGTTCGCTCTTCTGGCAGTCTGATGTGAACTGAGACATCGGAAGAACCCTCGCAGAACAGCTCGCGTCTGGAGAGGTTTCACACTTACGCATTTTCCTGGGCAGCCTCCTCTGCCTTAGAGACTTTCCTGTAGCAATAGACCATTTCTATCAGTAGCCACAAGGTGAGGAAGACCAGCAGAATATACATCATAATTTCAGAGATGACCGAGGTGAAGTCTTCTCCAGCTGTGAAGAGAAATGAAATAATCTCTGATCATTTACGTGCAGCTATCGGAGCACAGCAGCTCCACGGACACTTTCTGCTCTCGTGTCATCCTCCCTAACCCGCCTTGCCAGAGAAACCCAGGTGCCACTACACTCTGAGGGGGCAAAAGAGAGGGAACAGGCGAGGCTGCCAGCAGGATATGCCAGCAGCGATCCCACTGCGCGTTTCCAGGCACAGGCTTGCCTATGTCTTGCACTCTCTGCCACCCACACATTCATACGGATTGCTCACCGTTAGCCTAACTCATCTTCACACTCTGTTTCCTTTATGCATCCTACTCGCTGGTGTTACTTGACTGTATTGTGCCGTCAGTGATTTGAAAGAGATCAAAACACTGAGATGCTCGTGGGGAAGAAGGGAAGACACAGCAGAAAAAGACGAGGGCTAAAAGCTCATGTCCCTCTCTGAAGAGAACAGCAGAATTCCCACTGGTTTTTAACATGCCAGGATTTCAGCACTGAACTCGGCGAAACCAAGAGGAATAAGAAAGACTTAGGAGCACTGCGAAGGGAAGGAGGGATTGGGAGGGGGTGGAAGCAGGGGACCGATAACAAAATGGAGAATGAGTTGTTCCACGAGGGAGGGGGCGGAAGCAAGGAAGCCGCCACTGCGGGTACCCTGGCAAAGGCTGTGCTGTAGCATCCTGGAGCTGCCAGAGGAGAAGTGACGGTTCTGAGCGGAGAAACTGCAAACCTCTGCTTGCGTTTTCTGCCTGCCCAGCTGTTGCCTCAGCCTGCCGAGCTTATCGTGCTTTCCCACATTCACACACAACCACCCGGAGCCTAAAAGGAGGCTGCAGCCACTAAACAGAACGCACGTCTTTCCTCCTGAACCCTGCGCAGTGTTTGTTGCTGGCAAAGATGGACATAATTATCTGGCAGCTCCATCTCCCCTCTCCTGCAATGCAATGAAAAACTCTATCCCTGAATGACAACACCCACGGCGAGGTAAGGCACAGCACACTTTCTTCCAACCCTTCGTACCCTCCTCCACCACGGTGAGGTGGATCAGCCTGGAGCTTGTGAAGAGAGGCCGGTGAATCTCGAACTCAAACTCCCGGGTGATGTTACAGGTGTAGATACCAGAATCGTTCAAGGTCACATTTAACACCGTGATGGATACATCCTGCATGTCTTTACTCCCATTCCACTGTAACCGACCACTGAAGCGGCTTGGAAATTCATGGTTCTTTTCCCTGTACTTGTAGATCTGTGAGGAAATGTGAAGGGGTATTCTGATTAATCATGGACTTGTCTCTCAGACAGCAACACAGCACATGCAAGGAACAACATCATCCTCTAGCTACACACATGTGCTCTGGGCTATGGCTTCCTTAGTAACAGCAGCTATTCATATTCTATCATCCTTTATCTCAGACTACTTCACAAAAGAGAGAAAACTGAATTATCTCCATCACAGAGGTAGAAAAACTAAGGCACGGAAAAAAAGAGAGACACATGGGGACAGTGACACAAAAGATCAGCGATAGAACTCAAAACTAGAATCCTGCAGTCTTTGTGCTCAGCCTTTCGGTCACTGCACATAAGATCATCTTAAGAAGGAACCACAGAATAAATACAGCAAAGACAAACAGGCATTTTTGGTAAGCCCTGGGATATTCAGCTAAAATGGAAGTGTTGCAGGATAAATATGACAGCGTGAAAACACTGCCTCAGAAGAAGAGAGCCTGGGTGGCTTTTGCAGTTTCTGGCTGACCACATCATTAAACTGCCCGCCCCAGCTCACTTTCGTTAGCAATCTCTGGGTTGCCACTGGCAAACGTATCACCCAGGTCACTGAAACTGAATTCCCATCATTCCTTAGCACGATCCCTCTAGTTCTCAGACAGTAGGAGAATATTTGTCATCTTGCCTGGCCCTGCTCAATCGTGATGAAATGCAACCGCTGATCTAAGGCTTCATACTCCAATAAAACAGCTAGAAAGAAATGTGTGCACTCAGCCTTTATCTTATTCTCCATTTTATCATTCTTTCTTGAATTCCAATTGCTCTTTGTCTGTACAATTCCTGGTTTTGATTCTGAAAGTGAATTTTACCTTTTTCTGACAGGGATCCAAAACAACTCTCACAGAGATCCTCCCGCAGTCAGGATACCACTGCTTCCTTTGAGACAAAAGGAAGTAAATTCTGTCCTAAAGATTTGTCAGAGCCCGATTTAACCTCCAAAGAACAGCTTGGGGATTCCGAAGTGTCCTAGGAAGGGAGACTTGGCCAAGGTGTCACTCCATACCTCCGTTTCCCTTCTTGATTTCCTTACATACTAGATTTTACGTATTCAAGGAACTGGAACAGGAAACAGACACGCACATACAACCCCAAATGTTTGAACATAATGTTTGGATTTTGAATTAGAATGTGGCAGAAAGCTTTTGTTCATATTTGGGTCTCTCTCCTTCCCTTATACAGCTGTCTTTGGGGATCCTGCCACAGGACAAACTTACACTCCCAAATACCTCTTGGCTCGTCCCACATGAGTTCACTGGACTGTGTTTCACAGTAAGACCTATGAAAACGAGGGCTCAGTTACCAAGCATACATACAAGTTCATCTTTTCCACCCTCCGGCCTGTAGAACCATTCCACCACCGTGCTGGCTGTGACCTCTTCCCTCTTCATGCAGGAGATGCAGAGTAGCTTCATGTGAGTTCCTTGGACAGCCTCTGTCTCTGAGGGGACTTCAACACATACTGCAGAACAAAAACCAGCTAGGGAAAAGGAGCAGCAGAGAAGCAGCGTAAGACAGATTTATATCCACACCTCAGTATTTAAGATCACATCATCCCCAATGGAAAACTGTTTCACTCATTACTAGCACCCTCTAACAACAGATAAGTCTCAAAAGCCAAATTTTACCAAGCTTTCATCTCTGAGATACGTCATTCATAATGATTAACAGAGGGTGATCACTTCATGCAGATTCACCTCTCCAGCATCTGCTTTGCCACAACTTTGATTTTTCCCATCGTAATTAATGCCACTTTAGTGGCATTGTTCATTCTCTCCCATGCGTGCTGAGCATGCTTCTCTTATAGTAGCAATTACAGTCTGGTGTGAGAGAAAGCCCAGAATTCAAGCGTGGAGGAACAGCTCGCTCTTTGTGCTGTTAAAAGGTCTGGATCTTTTAATCTGGCAACGTGTTCAAAACCAACTGGGAGGATTCGCCACCCTGTTTCTAGATTTCATAAGCAGTACTGGGAACCAAGGGGCTTGGACTCGAGTAAATGTGGCAGCGGGAGGAGTTATTGATTTTAATTGCATTCCTGTTCAAAATGCTTCCAATCACATCTGTGCAACACAGTGCAACTATAAAATACTGCTCTCCCAAACAAGACAAAATCATTGTCTGTCAAGGTACATACTTGGTAAGAAAAGGAATGCTTCAGCATGATGTCTCAGGCTAAATGCCTGCTGACATTTGTCCCCTGGGCTAAACGATACTGGGCTCTGTCTGTCCAAACCTGTCTCTGAATCCTAGAGTTTATCTCGTGGAAGATGCTGAATTTGCTGGCTGCTCCCTCCTCCCCAGCCTCTGAGATGCCATTAACCCACTCTCTCGAGCGCTGTATTATCCCAGGACTTATCCTGGAAATAGTCAGATTCCAATTCTCCCATACTACCAGCTCCATGGGTAGCACCAGCTTTCTGGGAGAAATAAGGAAGAAGCTACTGGATCGTGCTTTACTCCGGTTAAATTACATCCAGATATGCCCCCGCCCCCTCCCCCCCGAGCCGTAGGTATATGTGCACATCAAATGTAGCTGCACTGGGAAAATCTAACCAACCTTTTCTCGGCTGCAGCAGAAAAACCGTAATTGCCATAAAATGGTTTACGCCAGGTTATATCGACTGCATGGGAAACTAGCACTAACATGCGCTTCTTCATGGTTTGCACGTCCTCCCTGAGGCAACTAAATATCAAATTACATTACAAATTTCAAAACAACAGCAAACAGGAAACAGTAAAGGACTCGCGTGTGTATCAAAGCACACGCTTTGTGCCGTAAGTCTACTTAGTGGTAATGTCTGCTCGTGTTAACTCCATTACATTCCTACTAACTCTGTGCGAATGTGATTTCCTTCTCTGCTGGTAAACAAAAAAGCCACTTTGAAGGCTGCTCTTCACGACAGCGTTAACGGAACCTTTCTAGGAAAAGCGGTGCTTTAAAGCAGCATCCTGCCAGAGGCAAGCACCGAATTTGCTGGACAACCTGGCTGAAGACGACACGGAACGGAAAGCACCTACCCCAGACCACCAACACGACCGAAGACGCACAAACCAGCCTTGGCAGCGCAGCCATTGTTCCGAGCCAGGAGCGACTCTCAGCCTGGGCAGCGGCTCTTTCGGAAGACGCTGCTTCTCTCCCCTCCTCGCCGCGGCCCCGGCGCAACAGGATGCCCCGGGCCGCCGGCCGCGCCGCGCCGGGCGGTCGGGATCCGCCGGGGAGCCGCGGGTGGGCGGCAGCCGGGGCTCCGCTCCCCCCGGCAGCACCACGGACAGGGCCGCGGCCCCGGACAGCTCCGCTCCCCGCGGCTGCTGCGGGCGCGGCCGCCGCCTCCCCCTCCTCCTCCTCCTCCTCCTCCTCCTCCTCCTCCTCCTCCTCTTCCTCCTCCTCCTCCTCCGCCGCCGCTCCGCGCAGGGAGGTGCCGGGCGCGGAGCAGCAGGTGGCTGCGCGGCTCAGCGCGGCTCAGCGCGGCGGGAGGCGGCAACCGGCGGCCCTTTGTTCTCCGGTTGGGCCGGGGAGGGGAGCGCGCATCGCTACGCGGGGGCGCAGCTTCCCTGCCTGCCGGCAACGGCTGCGCGGAGCCCAGCCGAGCCCGGGCGGGGGGCACGGCCGGCGGCAGGCATGCGCGGGCGCCTCCCTCCCTCCCCCGGCCCCGGGGGCTCCTCCCGGCCGCGGAGAAGGAGCCGGGGGCTAACGGAGCTCCTTGGGGGGCCACCGAGGAGGTCAGCGCTCGGGCATCCTCCTTGCCGGCTGCGGGGACTGGGGAGGGGATATCGGCATCGGCCAAGGAGAGGCGGGGGAGTGCGATCCACGCGGGGTCAGAATGGCCTCCGCCTCTAAATTAGAGTTTAATGCTACCCTTTGCACCGCTCGGAAGGTCACAGTTGGAAATACTGGGAAATCCTCTCTCTCCACATCATGTTCCAGTCAGATTTTTAATGCCAGCAGCAGGCTGGGCTTTCTCTTCTTGGACGGGGGCCACCGTGGCCCGAAGGGCTTCTCCAACTTTGAAGGTCACGGTGGACAGAAAGGGAAAAATGAAGTGCTTGTTAAACGTGCTCCCTCTTTCTAAAGCATCTGCTCTGATGGCAGCTCAATAAACAGCACAATCTATTGAATTAAACCTGACGAACCCCATCGGAGAACAGCACGTGAGCCACACGCCGTGCCAAAACTCTCTGCGCAAACGGCGAGACCCACCCAAACAGAGACATTTGCAGCCATCAGAAAGCATCGGCTTCGAGCCTTTCAGCTGGGCACGATGCTGCTGGTGGTGGCCACTACCAGAGCTCTTGTGGCCACCTGGCACCGCGGGCTCGCTGCTAAGGGCACACCTCCCCAATCTGGTCCCTACACTGCTGAAGCGAAGCAGGCACAGCACAAAGACAGCCAACACTCTTCCTAGACATCATCTATTCATGTTTGTATCAGCAAGCTGCATTCATCATCTGCCAATAACCACACACAGAGCACAACTGCTTCCACATCACCCTTTACTGTGACAACTCCAAGGAATTCCTAGCTAAGGACATCTTCCTAATTCCTTGTTCTGCTTCATGTTACTGTCTGGACAGGTTTCTCTGCCCTGCTCCAGCCCACGTCCGGCTGTGACCCCTGAAAGCTTTGCAGCCCTTCAGTATTACAGCAGGGACTGACCAACGCCACGACAGTCTCCCCCCACGCTGGCCGTCAGGTTCCACTCACTGCCCCCTCTGCTCCTAGGCTTCTTTGGGTTACTGCGCACTCCTCCCAGCAAACCACTCAAAGAAAACACCTATTTAATATATCTCCTAGGAGCCAGGTGTGACTACAGAGATCAACAGCTTGTGAGTCAGTGGCCTGCAGGTGCCAGCAACACACTTCCAGTCGCCCCCTTAGAAGCCGTCCATCAGGAATATCCGAATCTTAAAATCTGACTTTTCTCCACAGGAAGACAAAACGGCAGCCACAATACCCAGAGATGATGGAAGGATGTAGCTTCTCCCTTAAGCCGTTTGCTTTTCTCCCATTGCCCCTTGCTATACTCACAACAACTCAACAAAGGCAAGGGCAGGCTAAACCATGGGACTTGCTCCTAACTCTTCTGGAACAATCCAGCCCGTGTGTGGTGGATGAGTGCTGATGGTGGGTTTTTTATAGACACAGGAACTACTGGACAATGTCCCCAGCTATCTCATTTGACAACCACCTGTTTCCTGAAGTACGGTGGAAATCACATCTGTTCTCAGGAAGCCAGGTGCGCTGCCAGAAAACACAGAGCGCGGATCAGCAGAGCTGTACTCTTTGTGCTACGGCTGCTCCAATTACATCTATTATGGAAAATCCTGCCAGGCAGGAGAGAGAGGGTCTGAGAGGATTAAGAGGAAGCAGCAGCTCTACACCACTGATTCGGTCGGCAGCCTGACTGACCCTTCAACCCTTTCTACTTCTGCCTTAGCACAGCCCTGCCGTCAGGTGCCTCGGTGCTCCCCCAGATACAAACAGAAGCCTTATTTCTCCTCTAACCCCAGACACTCCAGAACTCACCTGCTAAGCCATTTAAATTACACTGACAAACATCCGAAAAAAGTAATGCATTGTCATAAAATCACAGGCTGGTTTGGGTTGGAAGGGACATTAAAGCCCATCCAGTCCCAACCCCCTGCCCCGGGCAGGGCCCCCTTCCCCCAGCCCAGGGTGCTCTCAGCCCCGTCCAACCTGGCCTTGAACCCTTCCAGGGAGGGGGCAGCCACAGCTGCTCTGGGCACCCTGGGCCAGCGCCTCACCCCCCGCACAGGGAACAATTTCTGCCTTAGATCTTATCTAAATCTGCCCTCTGGCAGTTTTTTTTAGGCTGACCCCCCCCAACTCTCTCAGCCCGGCCTCCCAGGGGAGCTGCACCAGCCCCCCCAGCATCTCCGTGGCCTCCCCTGGCCCCGCTCGAGCAGCTCCAGGTCCTTCTGCTGTTGGGGGCCCCCGAGCTGGCCCCAGCACTGCAGGGGGGTCTCCCCAGAGCGGAGCAGAGGGGGAGAATCCCCCCCCTGGCCCTGCTGCCCCCCCTGCTCTGGCTGCAGCCCAGGGCACGGGTGGGTTCTGGGCTGCCAGCGCACGGTGCTGCCTCACGGGCAGTTTTCCCCCCCACCAACACCCCCAAGACCCTCTCCTTGGGGCTGCTCTGCATCCACTCGGAATCACTCATGTACAGATCTCAAGCACTTCATGCTAGACTGGTATTCTGGCTGCTATTTGAAGAGGGGAAATTGGGTTCAGAGATGAAGAAAAGCTCTGGTGAAACCGGGCTTCGATATGGGTGAATTGTAACACAAAAAGCTATGGGTCAGGGAAGCAAATGGAGATCACACTCTCTCCACCATCTCTGGAGAAGTTTAATCTTCACCTAGAGCATGCTTCATGTACTACAGACAAAACCAAAGGTGATTTGAAATAAATACTTGTAGTTAGTCTGGTTTATTAAATTGCCAGAACCTGTGTTGCTTCTTTTTTTAAGAAAAATGTCTCTGGACTTATTCAGGGATACTGTGTGTTTTTAGAATGGAAGGGGAAGATGCTTTCATTCTCACTATAATCTGGTTTTAGCTGGGAACCACTCCAATGCCTCCATGTGCTTGTTTTGAACAGGCAACAAATGCTGCCCAGACCTCTTCAGGAAAACTTGCAAATAAACGGATGCCACATTGGAAGTTTGTTTAAATTTTCAGCCCTGGTGTAATGCAAAAGAGATGGAGAGCATGTATTCTCCAAACCCCATCCAACGCAAGGATGCAGAGCTGCTCTTTCTTGCCCTAACACAGCCCCAGTGCCTCCAGTGAACAGGCTGGGGACAGGCGTAAGCCTTAGGGTGCAGGATGCTCGGCACCACAAAGCCCTCAGCCATTTTGGCACTCCAGGAGAAATGGTGAGGGGACTGAATGTTGAGAGAGAGAAATTTTGAATGCTGCAAGAAGCAGCCCAACTTATCATGTGGGGGTTGCTATGGCAACCCACCCAGTTAATGCTTCACAGGAAAGAGGAAAAAAAAAAAAAAAAAAAAGGAAAAAAAAAATAGAAAAGGCTGGCACTTTTACACAGGCACAACAAGATGAGGAGATAAAAATAATTCCAGCACCCTGCCCCCACACTAATCCCTCACTTCATGGTCCCTGAGCCAGGCTATGGCAGTGGGAACACAAAACCTGTGTGTCTGGCCTCCCTGTGACAGCCGTCTCGGCAGCTTCCTCTGCCATCCACAATCACATCAGCTCTCTTCAGTGCAAATGTCCTCCTCTTTATTGTGCAGCTAAACATCAGCAAAGCTCATTCCTTGCACAGCTCCTCCTGACTGTCAGGAGCCAACATGTACCCACCACTGGGATCAACTGCTCCTAGACAACCATTCCAACCTCAAGGCCACCAGAGCTGTGCAACAACCAAATAACAGCGGTGCAATCGCCTGATGCACAACTGCTGGAAGAGAAAGCAGGAAAATGGAGAGAGCACCCTTTACACTCACTCACTGCTGCTCCCGCAGAGCAGCCTCTAGCCAGTACGAGACCAGTAACGGTTTGCAGAGAAGTCGTACAGGATAATGTTTACCAATTTAAAAATGTTGAATTTAATAGAGGTAGGCGTCCTTCCCACACACTTTAAAAACCATTCTACAGAAATCTATAGCAAGGGAAGACTTCTCTAGTTGCCTTTACAGGATGCCTGGAGGGTTATAAAAGCTCATTCAGTTCTCTCTTTTTCACACTCAAGTTTGAAATGCATTCTCCATGTACCTGCCAACGTCTGGGTCCCCATCGTATACTCCACGCTACAGACAACTCCAGCTATACTCTTCACGCATCTTCCCATCTGCAGAGCTACATTCCCAGCTGATGCACAGTTCCCAGTGCCAGGGACTAGGTCTGCAGCGTTCAGGTGCTCCCGGCCCCAGCCACTCGCCCTTCTCAACGCCCCAGTATTCAGGAAGGTCAGTCCCCATCGCCGCTTTTCAGATGCAGGTACCCAGAGTGACTGTGCTATCTTACACGCTCTCTCTGTACAAACACCTGCCTGCATTTGCACTGCATCATTTTTTGCCAGAGCTATTTCCCCATGCAACAGAACAGTTGGGTTCCCCACGTGCATACCCCTGTGATTCCCAAACGCTATGCTCCACACCGAGCAACCGCTCTGTGTTCTGTCACATACATGCTGCAGGGTCTCTTTCCACCGTATACAGATTGCGCATGTTTGTGATTTACTACTGCTACCTAAGCTTGTCTTAGCTTCCTTCATGCCTGCAGAAGAGGCCAACTGCTTTCCAAGGCAATATTCTGACCCCTTAATGTTGCCTGCTCTCCCCTTCTGCTTTCACTGGGGACCCACGAGGCGCAGTCCCTTTGCCATCCTTCTCTCCCAGAGCAAGCACAGGCTGCCTCTATTTATCCTTGGCTCCGAGAACTGTTTTCCTGTCAGGACTAAGAATAAGGAGGACTAGATATTAGAGTGTGAATGAGAAGTAACTGCCCTGGCAAGCAGACTGCCCGAGCTGTTTTGTGAGCCTTTAATGCTTTTCATGGTGGTGCTCCCTGTCCGGGAAATACTTCCTCAAATGCCGAACAGTCCTGTGTAAGCCAGAGCCTGCGCATGCACAGAGGACGGGCAGGGTCTGGGGACTTGGATCCCTCTGAGCAGCAGCAGGTGCTCTCTGAAGGCTGGGTTGAAAATCCTCCCCTGTGCGTCCAGGAAACACACTGAGCTACATTCCTGCATGTTGCTAACACTCTGTGGTCAGCAACTAAACAAACACATTTTTTCAGACCTTTAATACAGGCTGTATATAGAGGGGTGTTGTTATATACATCCTGGAAATTCTAAGCTCTGGTGTTGGTCCAGGTACTTTTGACGTATTGTTTTCTGGGACTCAATGCCAATAA